ACATTTGGGCTGAAGATAAGATAATATACTTAATGCGATTAAAGACAAGTTATACAAGATGCCCACGTCTGCGGAGCCTAGCCATGCCGTCTGACTGAATTAAATTAATTCCTCCCACCTTCTCCATAGTTGGTCTTTTCTTCTACTGTCGGTCATAAAGTTGTTCGGTAATTATATGCTCGGCTTCGAATGTCGAGTGGTTGGGGTTCGATGTCGGTTCATAATTATACTAAATGACTTTTTGATGCGACAGCCGACAGATGCATTCCAAGTAAGGACCACAGTTAGACAAGGCTGTCTACTCTCCCCTTTCCTCTTCCTTCTGGTAGTTGACTGGATTATGTGGAATTTGACACCTGAGGGAAAGCATGATGAACAAGGAGGATCTGATGCACACATAAAAGCTAAGATTGTTAAAACAATGGCCGCATTCCTACAACTGAAGAACATATGAAACTCAAAACAATTGTCTGTCAACCAATATCAAAGCCACAATCCTCAATACGAACATCAAGATTGTCCTATCGTACGGAGCTGAAACTTGGAGAACTACTACAACCACCATCAAGAAGGTACAAGTATTTATAAATGGTTGTATATGAGACACGTCTCTCAAAGTTAAACTAACACTCAGCAATCACACACTGCCCAGACTGGCAACAGTAACTGGCCTAGGGGTACATTACTCACACAGTCTTAATTTATCTGAACACATCTCAGCCAAAGCATACAAAATGCGGAAATTGCATGGCTTCATTCTCCGTAATTTCTATCAAAATGAATTAAAAATCCTTCTTTACAAAGTCTGTGTAAGACCTATCGTTGAATACTGCTCGTTCTTATTTTCCCACCTACGCGTATCTGATATACTAAAGGTGGAAGGAATACAACGAGAATTCACACGCAAAGTACTTAAGACTGACTCGGTCATTGACTACAGTTCCCGATGCCAAATTTTAGGGATAGCACCCCTTTGGAAGAGAAGGCTTACGTCTAATTTGATTCTCTACTTCAAACTACTCAAAAACTTTACTCATTCAACTTGTAATATATTTCTTGCCCAAGATTCACATGAATACGGACTTCGAAACAAAGTATCTGCGGTCATAGTTGAGAAATACAGATCATAAACTCGGGAAAACGTCTTCCTCATCAAGTATGCAATGATATGGAACAGTCTTCCCTCCGAAACTCGCATGGCAGATGAATTACATACGTTTGTAAAACTGCTTGATCAAGCCCTCACTTGCACTAATCTAGCACCTACGAGCACATCAGCACCCCACTCATACACCATGGGCTCTCTTCATGTCTAGACCAAAATGGACTTCGTGTTCAGTCTGCCTTATTTTTCCTACTTTGCAATTTTATTAGTTACTTTTTCCACCCTATTTCTTCACTTGAAGTGGACATGTAACTCAATGGACCTATCGATTCTGTTCAACTAAACTCGGTCGCTAAGGGGCACTCACTACTACCCTAAAAAGCCAAGAGGACTGCACAATCGGCTGCCTATTACCAGTGGTCTTGCATCTACGGAGCCTGTTACCAATCAACTGGTTAGGACAACACAAAACAACATCAGCAGTAAGTTGCTGTGAGTTTCTTCCTGTTTATCCTGTATTAACATTTTACTCTTCAGTACACTATGTTGACTAGCAATTAATATTATTACTCCATTCGTTGCCATATCTACAACTCATATACTTCTATACTTTTCCGCCTGCTTTAATTGACAACTATCCTACATTATTTCCTCCTTAATGCTTATACTCTGATTGGCAAACTATACTTTATACTATAGTCAATAAAAGCACTGCATCGATGCTTTACCCACAGTCCATAGCTTGTAACTGCCTGATAAGCTTGTAAAATGGTACTTATAGAAATAGTGCTTTTCAACAGTTTGTGAAACAGAGGATTGTGCGAGGTATGACGTATATACAAAAATAAGCCCAAATGAGGCTAACATCACAAAAGGAGGGAGGGGGTTTGTGGGACAGGATACTTTGTATGTATCAAGCTCTTTATAGTTGAGAACGAGTCAATCGATCTGCGATATATATTGTCTTCCTACACCCATCACTCAGACTTATGTTTCCAATTTTATGTTGGGTTAGCTATTCTACTAAAACAACCTATAACATGCTAACTCGGATTTTTACACTAGGATTTTGTGGCTGGAATCGGATGGATAAAAGAAAGAAAGAAAGAAAAAACTGGACAATAAAAGATATAGTTATTAGTATTCTGAACACTTCATCTTCTTTATGCACACTCTCTTCTAATGAACCGCTTTCCCTGTACCAACCTTGACTTCCCTTCCTTCATTCGAGCTTACTCCAATTTGTTAAACATCACAACTCATTATTCTTTATTGCTACATTCTCTTATATTGAGGCTTTGACTTCATTTCACTCTAACAAGAGATAATATGAATTTAATCTAATTTATTATACCTCTGTCTGTTCTACTACACTATGTTAAGCAACGTTTGGCGTTGATATCCAAGTGCCTTGCTGCTCTTCTGTTTCTCTTTATTTTTCTTCAGAATCTAGCTCTGAGTGCACAGCTATGGAAATTCCGTTGTCTGTAATAAACTTCACGTACGCGTCTCCCCAATGTTATGGTTTACAGCAAGCGCTCTACGAGTCTACTTTATAAGAACTCTAAACTTATTAGGCTAGGAAGCATGCTGTGAGACAACAAATGTTGTTATTTGTAGATCACGCCTGTAAAAATGGCGTGTACGTGCTCATGAAGAAATATATTATTATTATTGTTCTTATTAAAAACTTTGAGCAATAAATGATATCTTATTAGGGGAACATATTAAATATAAGGACAAAAGTATAACACACGATGAACGTGCCTACATGGACTGGACACATGTACCTTTATTAAGTTAGTTCCCTCTTTTTTGATGTGTTGAGGGTAACGAGGCAGTAACGAAGATTATAGTAAATAAATTACGTTCCCCTTTTGCACGTTTGATCAGTAGAAGACCCGGTCATAAAAATTCTCCAAATTCGGGCTCATATCAAGGAAAAGGAACAGTCCTTCAGTTTCAAAGTTTCCTGAACATATATATGAAATACCGAACAAAAACAGGTTAGAAACGGAAACTTCAAGATAAAGCAGTGAATTTAAAGTCAGTATGGCGAATGATATTAACAACAATAGTAGCAAGTCAGTTAAATACTCATAAATTGCCTAGCTTCAGGTATGAATGGATCAAAAATAATTATTTGTAATTATTTGTTATCAAAAATGACTTCATTAGGAAGAACTCACAAGCACCACCTTAAAATTTAATAGGGTTCAACCCAAACACATAACTACGGAGAATAATTGAAAGAAGGGAGTGTAACCCAACAGGTTCGATTGTGGCCATAATTTATACTCTGTATTAGTAGTTAGGTCCTGTAATCGCTTCTATCTGAAATGTTAAAAATCGCCTTTCTCTTCTCTTAAAGAACCTCAACATGTGCATTCTAACTGAGAGCATGATCTCCTACCGTTCTTTTAGATGTTGACCTAATGTGGTCAGATTGAAGTTATGTAATAAATTAATTTACGTCTTATATTAAAAACTTTCATGAGACAACTCATAATCTCGGTTCATTATAATCCGAATGATGGTTTGATTCTTCTCGCTAGTGCAGTCACCTCATAGTATAAAAAGCAAACGATTGAAGATGACAACAACTTCAGAATATTTACTAATAAAAATGGATAGTGCAGATGTTCTACAGTCCGGAGACACGTAAATGTTGGTAAAATAAACAAAACTGTATTTATTCAAGTGGTTTGGACCACATCTTAAGGTTAAACAGTAGACAAAATCGTTGGAAAACTTAAAACCAGAGTAGAAGATCGACATCAGTTCACATTTACAAATATATCTACCTTGCGCCACACCTTTCCTTTATTGTTTGATCGCTTCTGAAGATAAGTACTGAAACCTTGTAGTGACAATAAGCAACCATTTTGTAAATAATGTAACTAGGATTCTTAAATTGTGAAAACACCACAATTCTGATACATGTTCAGGATTAGGAAAAAAGAAAATTCACCATGCCAATTAGTGATCGGCAATTGTAAGTTAGCAGTTCAGGAATCAGTATCTTATTAATCTTCAATCTTTCCAACGTATATTGCCAGCTAACATGATGTCTCTGATTGTTTTTTTTTGTAGCTTATCAAGCACTAGGTTGTAAAATTTTCATACACACAACGGAATAGATTATACGACTAACTGACATAATATTGTGTTAAAATAAACAAAATGGATGACTTGTTGAAATATCTAGATGGTAGGAACAGATAACCCATATATTCGTGCATGTCGCTCTCTGTGGTTAGTTCACTGCACAACAGACAGTGACTACATCCTTGCATGCGTTGGAGCCATTTCTTTAGCTGATCATTCCAAGACCTTGAGTATAATCGGTAAATGCTTTCAACGCGACAGGTAATTCAGCCAGTGTTCAGTAGTATTTAACTGTCATTTACTAACTTTCCTCTTATTCATATTGCTTTATATATCTAGATCTAGACCTGATGACATCAAAGATCTATTATCTAAAGAAATAGAGGCTTTTAAGGCATAAACTTATATTCCTTCCACAATCATTTGAATTATTTTCGGTTCAATCGACAGATGTAGTCACTCTCTCCAAACAGGGTGGTTTTCTGCCACATAAAATACTCAGCAACTCGTTGAAGTTAGAAAGTTGGAGCTGCATGATATAATTAAACAATCCGTATTGAAGAGTTTTGATGTTGGTAGTCATAAATGGATTTATTTTGGCTATCAAATAATGTCATCTTACTTAATCAAATTCTCGGTAACAATGTAAAGTGTGTTTTTAATGACAGAAGTGCAGTGTATCAACATTCACGCTTTATGATTCTGTTTACAGAATTTTGAATTAACTTTTCGTCAGATAGTTATTGAATGTTGTCTCACCTATTTCTCATTGTTTTGTCATGCATCATTTTCAATATCTGGCGCGTGATGTCTACTCCTGAGGGTGTTTTGTTGCCAGATGGCAGGAGGATCGGAGATCTAAAGGTTGCTGATCTCCGAAACCAACTGGAGATTAGAGGTCTTAGTCGCTCAGGAGTGAAAAAAGACTTGTGCGCACGCCTATCAGATGCCGTGGATGGAGAATTGCGTCAAATGAAAAATGTAAGTTACTACATATATGTGTGAGTTTTTGAAACACTTTTTTACCGTACTAATTCTCATTGTAAAAAGTTACGTCATGACGTTTAAGAATTCTAGGTACTATGGTGCTTTGGTTTTCTTGTGAATATTAAAGTATATACTATCGATCAGTTGGCTGTTAAGAATCAAAGTTAGCCATAGAAAATAGCCGTAGTATCTGTATTTATTGTTTCTTCCTTTTACTATGGTTAAGATAGTATTAATTACGTCAGAAGTCAGGTTAGTTACGACGTTTATTAGGTACTGTCCTGGAGCTCTTCATATAGTATTTAAAATGGGTTAAGGAGAGGTCAGAGGTTACAATAGCCTCACTCAGCTACTAGTTCAAAGTTTTCTTACTGACTGAGAGTCACCAAGATTCTGTCCTACTACTCATCTGCTTCAAACGAGCGGTTTGTACTTTTTGTGTATCAGTGGAAGGAATGATAAGTATACACGTATCAACTAGTGACCGTTAGTTCACTATCTCCTAATACATGGCTCAAACTTAAGCAAATTACTACTGAGAAATAATCAGATTACTATTTAAATGTGTTAAGGCAAAATCAAAGTTGACGATAGATTCTTAAAAAGCCCCCGCTATCTGATGTGTGGGCTGCATGATAATGATCGGTTGTCTGCTTAGTCAGATATGTAGATAATCTGACAGGTGTCAGATGAGTTATATATTCCCCTATCCTTATTATTATTGTTACTCACTCATTATTGATTGTTAATTGTTGTAAGATTGTGTTGGGTTTTGGTGTGGAAATATATCTACATCATGGTCAGGCTAATTCCGTGTTCTTGATCTGAGACGTGTTGACGTCCTGTAAAGTAGACACTGAGAGGGAATCTAGTGTAGATTTTCGTCGAAGGCAAATTAACGTCCTATACGTGTAAACGTGGGAACCCAACCGTTATAACAGATGAAGTAAAACCGAGCGTTATAACATTAACAGTACTAAATGCATAAAGGTGGATTGGAAATTTGTAAACGTTAATTGAAGCGTAAAGGGCAGTAGTGGCAATTTTTACCGTTAACGTGCTAGTTGGATGATAATTGGAATCGGTAATCCAATTGATGTAACTCAATTTCACAATCCCACTAAAAGTTATGTCTGTGTATGAAGAACATCTTTCACACGGAGGGCGTTGACACCTCAACGTGAGTGTCTAGAAATTACATAAGTCATAAATGAAACGTCCTTTTCGATATGGAGGCAGTGTTTTGATTTGAATAGCACTCAGGTTAACCTAAATCACCCTCCCCATTTTCATCTATTTTAGGAGTCTGGATCTGTTGCTAAGTGTGTAGAATCAGAAGACCCCCTTGGTGGTAATAATAATGTACAAAACGAAGATACTTTAGAAATTGATGCAGTCGCATCGGACGAAGAAATTACTGAAGTATCTACATCTGCTGATGTATCCGAGGTCAAGTAAGAATAAATGAATGCCTCAATTTTGTCTGATTCGGTTTTTCATATATTAGTCGAAGTTCCTAGTCAGTTGTCAGTGTTAGGTCTCGAATGATTGTTTAGCAGTTTAGTTGCCACTTCAAGTCACAAAAAACCACAGTAAGGCTAAACTGAAAGTGGTACCAAAAGCTCTGGAAATTTTAACACAATAGTTACAGCCCAAAACTATCAGTTGCGACCAAGGACTATGAATTTAAGCGTTATATTTAGCTGAAAATCTTTGAGTAAAGTGGAAAATCGACACAACATGTAACACAACGCCTTCAATTATTGGTTGCAAGTATTGTATGGATTCTAACCAAGTTACGGAGTCGCGTAATAGCCCTGGGATTTTGGTATAAACTAAAGTAGTCAATTGGAGCCCAACTTTGAGAGTTTGTCATGGAAATTCTGCCAATTCTTATCAGACCGTGTTTTCTGGCCAGGATTAATGTTCGTTCAAGAAAGTATAACACCTAAAACCAATAATTATATCTAAAAGTTTTGTGATTGGTTCCAAATAAATTTTCATCACATTCTTAGAATTGCTTATACACTTTCTTCGCTTAATAACGGCTTACATAAACCAAATCAAAATGTTGGGTATGCAGATGTGTCTGAGCATATTTACTAGTTAGCTTCCCGCACAATAATGTTTACTTCTAAATGAAAAATTCAGGTACCTACCCATTGACAAATCGAGTTGAGATTCCGTTCATACGTATTTGAATACTTGTCTTTCAAAATATGTTGCGCTACAATCTATGTAGTCATACTCAACCATAAATTTGAAGGAACCGTTGCCAAATTTCCAAATAAGACTTGTTCTTTTCCGTGTAGTGACTTCAGTCATTTTTGTAATGATAATAAATTTCTCTGTATTTATTTGTATTTATCTGAACACAAATATTGGTACAAAGGAACACCGAATACACGTGTGCCACACACCATGTGTGAATCTGGAATACTGCCCGTGCACCCAAACCGAAACAGGTTTTGTTAGGGGGCTACACCCCAAGCCTTTGACCTAAAGGTCTAATCCGCCAGACAGTAGTGTAATGTTAGGAGTTGCAGTCCTACGGTAGCCTGTAACCAACAATAGGTTCATACACCATTTATTTCCTCAGGATCCAGGGTCGATGTGCATCATCGGTTTGGAATCGTGGTTTTCCAACTCTCCCCTATATGAATCCTCTATGTCCACCGACCCAGTTAAAGCGTTGGCCATTCTCACTTCGTCCTTTGAATTTCGTAAAAACACCGATGACAGAAGGTAGTGAGTAGGACTTCTTTGAGAGTGTCCGTATACATGTGACTATGTGAGAGCATTTCAAGAGTTTGAGCGGACTCTTCTCACCCTCGACCATATGAGGGCAATTTTTCCGTATGAGGAAACTGAACAAATTAGTTGGTGGTTCATTCACGCAGACGAACCTCTAAATACATCTAACTATTGTTTTTGCTATGTATTACTACTTTATTAAGTTTATCTATTCGTTGTGTGTCCTACGTGTGTTTATCCTGAAACTGACATCGTCCGTTATTGGATAGCGTTGTTTTCACATTTGGTACCACAACAAAAATAACACTGAACCATTGGTTTCCCATTAAAGTTTGATAGGATGCGTTTCTCCTCTAAATGCAAATTGTTGCTTCAGGAATGGCCTACGTCAACACCTGAACTAAGGATAGAGAGTTGAGTAGTCGAACTTGTCGACAACCTTATTTGTCTTGGAAGTCTGGTCAGCTTTAATTCGTTGGCGTTCGACAAAATCTCTACACGGATTCGAAAAAAAGGTTCGCTTTTGCCAAATCGCGTCGCCAATGGCGAAGGCAGTGGCACTATAAATTTCGTGCTAGTGACTCCACACCGTGCATTATTTACAGAGACTGGTTGGAGTTGGCGGAAAAGTGATCATTTTATAACAGTGGCATATGGAAGAAAGCTGTGAAGACTGAGATCCGTTGGTCATTCACGATTTCCTTGTTGATATCCTAGAGGTAGTGCAACACAGTGATGTAAGACATAAAATATGATTTAAAATGAAAGCCAAAGGCAGTCCTATTGTAATTTTTTACTTCATATAAGTCAGAGGAGCTTCTGTACCTGAAAAATCCTATGTGGTTGCATTTTTCCTTATGTAGCCGCTTTTCCTTTGTATACCAAATATTTATCCTTTTGCTGCTTTTACTTATATTTACTTTCCTGTCTTCACAATGTTAGCTTATCGTGTGGCACATATTTATTTTAGTGTTCATTTGTACCACTTTTTGTGTTTAAACAATAAACAGTAATACTTTTGTTAATTTATCTTTGCTGATGTATGGAACTTGTCCGATTCACATTATCGCTGTATTGCTTTGAAGAACAATTAAATTGACATAGCATCGTGTAAGCGTTATCTTCTCTGAACTCTAGTACTTTTGTGAAAGTAGTTCATATTTTTTCTCAGCAAACTTAGTTTCAAGGTGTTATTATACTGGACATATGAATAGGACCAAAGAACCGTAGATTGTTACAATATAACTAGTTACTACATTGTACTTTGTTCATATTAATTCTAATAAGACATTTCATTTCGTTTTCAGCATTGAAATAGCTGTAAGTTTAACTGTTAATATTTGATACTTGATATAATCTGTTCTTAATAGCGTAGGAAAAATCAGTTGTAGTATGATTATGTATAGATGTGTTTATAGATTTGAGATCATTTGTAGCATTTATAGTGGATTTATGCAATTATATGTCATTTTATTATTTTTTGTTGTTAAATATGTTAATAATTTACCGAAAACCTTCCTTCTTTATCCTTCGTCACTGGTGTTTGTTTTGCCTTTTTTGTACTTGCCTAAATGTACTCCTTGTTCCTGTTTATACTCGCTAGTCGTTCACACATGAGATGGTCGCATTCGCACTACGCGTTTGTTAGACAGCACGCTTACTGATGTCTCACCTAATCAGTCAATTGGGGCAACCTATAATCCAATCATATACGGCCTTTGATTATAACGATGGCTATACTTTTCGAAATTCAACTCTGTAACTCTTCTTACTATGCTGGTCGTGTTGCATATGGATTGTGTTGAAAAAACTTCATATTTGAAAATTATTGACAATTGTTACGCAATCCCTTTTTCACTAACCAATGTTGAAATAAAAAGACATCCTAACAGCATAAATATTTAGTATCTTTAAATCCAAACTGTTGTTGTCTAAACTGTCGTTATCGAACAGAATCAATTGTATTGCCCGACAGTAATTATTCTTTCGTTTTTCTTAATTGACATTTTGCCCTTTTTCATTCAATATCTCAGTTCTCGTTTTTTGTACATTTACAATTGCAAAACCTTCGTGATTTAATCTCACATGAACTAAGGCGCTTTTTTTATTTCAAACTCGATTTGTTTTATTTTGTAAAAGATTTGTACTATTCCATTTCTTATTCTATCAGCGTCGTTTCTTAATCTGGTTACTTTATAGAAAATCATTCATTCCTCCTTTCGGTATTGTACCACTAAACATTCAACAATCCACCTACCCCAATTGTAATATTTCTTAATTTTGATAACGATTTCTTTGAAAGACAATCCACATAATAACATTGTTCTACAAATCAGTCTTTTGTATTATTATTGTTATTATTACCAGATCACTTATTGGTCTTCTTAACTTAATTCGATGAATATTTTCAAGTGACAATTTATTTAATTACACTTCAAAACACTCATTTTCTCTTACTAAAAATTGACAATTATGTAATGAAAGACTTATGGTCATGATACTACAGAACAAATTATTTTTATACATCTCGATATTCGATGGTATAATTCTCAGAAGAACCGCGTATAGTGATGTGTACTCTACGTGATCTGTCAAGTATATGTAGAAACGAAGTTTCAGGTTAATTTTTTTTTCGTATTACGTTATTTGTATTTTTCTTAAAAAAGATTTTTTTAATGTGTTTACTTTGTTTACTCCCGTTGTTGTTGCTCATAAGATAGAGGCATTTAATTATTTGTCCATGACGAAATCCTGTTGTGGTGCTGGTTTTTATGTAGCCCTGCTAGCATGATTGATTCATTCTGTTGTGCTATTATGCATTAAGTTTATTGTTGCTACAAATGCGCAATAGCGTAAGTGAATGGTTGTTTTGTCTTGATTCGTAGAAAGTGTTTCTAAAATTTTCTGTCTGTCAGCAAGTGTGAAATAAGATAGTCATCACGGAGTGTTGTTTCTTGATATGTTTGTTTGTTTGTTTTCCAACTCTTTAATAATTTATCAATAAAGTTGAGTAATGTGATCTTATGTATTTGTTTTGTTACATTTAAATTACTTGGATTTTAGAAGTCTGAAAGTCTTTGTAAGTCGCCATCTGTATCCTCCGAATCTAAACCGGGTAAGTGTACTTGCAAATGTCAAGTATATTATGAATTGTATATTTACGCCGTATTAAAATATGATTCCTTTTAAGTTATGGAAGGTGTCCGTTCATCTATCAAAGGGGAAAGTGCAGTAATTATGTTAGTTTATAAAGCATATATCTATAACGCTTGTTCATTTCTATATAGAGTACAATTATTTTAGGCTACTAGCTCAATTTTAGCGGACAGATATGTTATTTATAGGGTCTCCGTAGTATATCACTACAGCTTAGCTTACTACTGTTATGCTCAATATAATTAGTGTGCACTTTTTTTTGGTTTTACTCCAAATTGAATCTTCTCTTTATTATTATATTTTTATTTGAACTGGTACCACTTATCGTTATTCATAGATCCTAACAACTCAGGAGTGTCGGCTGAAGTATCGAACTTCGAGGTTACCGATGGTACACAGGTTTCAGACCCACCTATTTCGATTGCAACTGATACCAAAACAGAAGCGGAAGCACAACCAGTACGTAGAAGACAGTGGGGGTCACGCTCAATCGCGAGCACCCCATCATTGTCTTCAGAATCTTTAGAGGTAATTTTTTGACTCTTATTCCGTAAAAAAAGCTGATGGTGTTTATTTTCTTAAATAGAAAAGTCTAACGCAAGCACTATTTAAGATCCAAGAAAACCTTAAATATGTAATAAATGAGACTTCATTTGTTGATCGGTCTTTAAAAAACCTAGTAGTCATGTATCAGCTAAAATCCTGACATGAATTAGCTACCGTTAGTCAGTGATGGTCATTTTACACCGGTGCAACATACGTTGAAAGCTACATAGTCAGAAAGGTGCTCGCAACTTCATACAATAATTTGTGGGCTTCACGTAATACATAACACATAAACAGCACTACATAACGTAGTTCTGTTATGAACTAGCAATCTTTCAAAGACACTAGATTTAAATGTTTACAGCTTCTGTTCGTCTTTCATTTTCAAAATTCATACTTCTGATGGTGTCGGTTGCCGAGTTTTGTAACATACAAATTTTCATTTTTACAATTTCCATAACCCCACCTAAGCGAAACTACAGTCATGAAAGAAGCAACCCCAGTACTTTATATCTCTTTTTGAAAAGAAAACAGTTAATACATTATTTGGGACCTGCTCCGGTCTGAGCACCCGGGTAGTGTCACAGCTCACACAGAAATCAAATGACTTGTGTGGCGCATATGTATTTGTTACTCCTTTGTACCAATATTTATGTTCAAATAAATAAATAAGTCGGAGATAAAATTAGTCAGTCAGGAAATGAGAGTAGACCACACTGAACAATGATGAATGGTGAGAAAATATTAGTGCCCGTAGGTAGCAATCATATTTTTAGTATGAGTTCAGATCTCATCGATTGGATGTCGAGTAGTGGAGGAAAGGTCAATCTCCAACTGAATCAGCAGTGTTTAAAAATAAAATAGTAGTAACCACTTTAGCTCTGGACATAAACTCTTTTAAGCTGAAGTTTAACTTGGAAGCTTCCACAATTTACTCAAAGTTAAATTGACTCCAAATCAAGTTTCTTATTTTTATTATTGTTATTATTAATTTTTTTTATAGAAACTCATACCAACTTCATGTTGGATACGAAGTAAAAGTACAGTGATAGATAATGAAAATGATGAAGTTTCACGCACATCACCTGTCTCTATTCAGGACACCGTCAGTCATATTGATGAGTCAAATGAGAAATGTGAACCGTTTAGTGATGATATTGATGAAAATGCGAAAGAGGAAAATAATGAGTTTGATCATAGAATTAAAAATAAATTATTCACCGATCATAAAAATAATCATAATATTAATGAAGAGGACAGTTCCGACAACAGAATTAAAGACAATAGTAATAATAATAATAGTGATCGTTTACATCTTGAGCGTGAGCTTGAATTAGAAGTAGATGCAGTTGTAGAAAACATGGATACTTATGATGACAATAATAACCCTATTGAAGAAATTTCAGTTGCATATGATTCTCGTACTGTTCATTTATCGTCATCTGATATAAGCCCAAAATTAGATGTCATTATCAAGCGTGGATGTGTTGTTAATACTGCTTCTACTACTACAACTACACTTAATATAACACCAACACCACCAATAACTATTGCTGCTATGACTACAGGCATAAATGTTAATTATCCTACTATTACACAGTCTACCAATCAAATGACAACAAAAATAGGAGAAGGACTGCAATCGAATTCATGTCATTTAACTCAAACAAAGAAATCACCACCGCCTAAACGTAAAGGTCCCAAAGGTAATTAAATAAACGTATAGATGCAATTTATTTAATGTATAATCGTCTAAATTTTGCTTGTAATTTTTCGTTTTATTCTTAATTTGTATTGTAACTACTCTCAGTCCAGACGTTTAGAACGATGAGCGGAACGTTTTAAGGAGCATTTCAGCTGACCTTCAGCTACTCTACAACTACCCTCCATTCCCAGACAGTGTGAATGGAACATTGAAGTAGGTCCCCCAACTGTTGCTGAAGTTGGGAAGGCTAGAGTTAATCTGAAACGAGGAAGGGCAGCTGGTCCAGATGGATTGGCTCCAGAGGTCTTTAGGGATGGTGGTACAATTTTAGCGATTGAGTTGACTAATATTTTAGCTAAGATCTGGGAGTTAGACGTTATTCCATCTGACTGGTCACAATCACTTATCGTCCCAATATATAAGAGAGGGTCAAAATCATCCTGTGACAACCATAGAGGGATTAGTTTAACAAATATATTATCTAAAATACTAGCCTCAATAATAATCAGGCGCCTAACTAAGACTCATGAACTGCAAACACGAGAGAATCAAGCTGGCTTCAGACCTGGTCGTGGCTGCATCGACCACATATTCACCATTCGTCGGGTTCTAGAACACAGGCATACTTATCGACGTCCAACGATGGTGGTCTTTCTTGACTTAAAAGCAGCATTTGGCTCGGTAGACCGCGAGATTCTGTGGCAGTGTCTGTCATCGAAAGGCGTACCTCAGAAATACATAAAACTTGTGAGGGCTCTTTACTCGAACGCTACACGTCGAGTGAGAGCTCATGGCGAACTGTCATCTGCTTTTGCAACCTCAAGTGGTGTCCATCAAGGCTGTCCACTTTCTCCATTTTTGTTTAACCTCATCATAGACCTACTGATGGAAATAACATTCTCGTCGACTGAATTCTTGGGTATTGATCTCCTTCCAGGAGGTCCACTTATCGACTTAGAATACACAGATGACATAGTCCTGTTTGGTGAAGACGCTGTTAAAATGCAGAGTCTTTTGGTAGTATTAGGCAACAATGCCAGAATGTTTGGAATGCACTTCTCTCCCTCTAAATGCAAGTTGTTGCTTCAGGACTGGCCTGCGTCAACACCTGAACTAGGGATAGGGAGTGAATTAAATGAACGCGTTGATAACTTCACTTATCTTGGAAGTCTGATCAGCCCTAATGGGTTGGTGTCTGACGAAATCTCAGCACGGATTCGAAAAGCTCGTTTGGCTTTTACCAACTTACGTCACCTGTGGAGAAGGTGAGATATCCGTCTATCAATAAAAGGACGAGTATACTGCGCGACAGTTCGTTCTGTTTTACTTTACAACCAATTCTTTCTTCTTGTACTATATCTCTATATGCAATCTTTCTCTTATATATTACCACCTTTTACCTAACCACTGTTATGAATCCGGTGTTCATCTTGTTGTGCTGATGCGGTATGGCAACCTGGACCGATGCACATAAGTGCATGGTTCTACGTTGTAGCTGACTGACTGACTGACTTTACAGCTGTAAAACATGGCCATTAAGAGTAGAAGACAATCGTAAGTTATTAGTATTTGACCACAGATGCCTAAGAAATGTTGCTGGCGTCTGCTGGGATAACCGGGTAAGTAATAGTGAGGTTAGACGTAGGGTATTAGGGAATAATGGCAAATCAGTTGGTGAGGTTGGTAATCTTCATCGACTGAGTTGGTTGGGCCACGTGTTACGTATGCCTGAACACCGATTACCACGACGTGCAATGCTATCCGGTGTTCGGGATGGTATGAAGAGAATTAGGGTCGGCCAAACCGAAACGTGGCATCAGTGCTTGAAGACACTAACTTCTATTCTTTGCCATGTTGGTAGATGCAAACTACTTGGTTGGGGTCCGCGTGACTATCGTAACCAATGGTTGGAGACTCTTGGTGACATGGCTCAGAATCGATCAAAATGGCGTCGGTGTATACTCTCTCTGTGTCTTCCCTTAAATTATGAGATTAAAATCGCTTCATATCTTTCTTTCTACGAACTAATTCTATATTCCGGTACTGTATCCTTATATGCAATCTTTCTTCTATATATTACCATCTTTAACCTAACCACTCCTTTGAATCCCGTGTTCATCTTGCTGTGCTAACGAGGTATGGCAACTTGGACCTATGCACATATGTGCCTGGTCCTACTTGTAGCTGACTAACTGACATATTATTTTGAATGAGACTAAGCATGACCAAGAAATGTTTCTTCCTTTCTAAATTGTTTCTGTATGGAAGAAAACTAGGGATGGCTAAACCAAAAACATAACATCAATTCATGAATTTATTGACAATTGAAATGAGCCATGTTAACAAATCTAAACTATCTAGTCGTGGTCCACTTCATTACCAATACCAGTGGTTGAAGACTTCGGGTAACATGGCTCAAAATAGTTTGAAGCTGCCTAGGTGTATCTACTCTTTGTCTTCGCCCAGATTTTAAGCTTTTGAATTCTTGATCATTTTCTTCTTATTTTACTGATTTATATTTTCCTGTATCGATATTTAATCCATTCTATTACTACTAATGCTATTATCATCTGTACCATTCTGGGATTCGCCCTGACAATCACCTCTACTAATGAGGTGTGGTAAAATGATTCAATGTTAATACAGATCAGGTTTTACATAGCGTTGGACTGATTGACTTTGATTAGAATTCGTCTTCAAGTTTTAGTGATCTTAACATTGATTGAATCGCCCCATAGAAATAATTATATCATGGTTTTCTAAGAAATGTATGATTATGTTAGTAGCTTAATGGTTAAGACGTGCGACTTTCAACCACGATCGTATTTTTAGCACGCTCACACTGTTATGATTAACTTTTCCGTTCAAATCAGTGCGACGTTATTGCTTTACTTGGTAAATATTGCACAATTTGAAGGTTAAAAAGGGTAATTAAATGAAAAATCATCTCACTTATCACAGATAATCATTTTGCCCATCTTAATTTCAAATCCATCTATTAAGTTCGCTTATTCGGTGAGGTATTCTTTTACTGCCTAGTATTTTCGAGCATCTTGCTTCACTCGACTGGTTCGAAAATCAAAATACGACTTGAACGGAACGTAAACCATATTACGGAACAGAACAGTAAGTTAAGTAGAAAAATGTTAATATATATGTAAATTTTACGCAGTGATATTTCAAAGTCTTTCCAGTTCGTTCATTTGTGTCGATTAGTTAGAAACGAAAATCTAAGTTAGAGGTTACTAACATAATTGTTACTCTTCTATCGACTGGAATTCAATTTCTGTTTCTGCATTATTTCTTATTTTTCAAATTAGAAACAAAGGCTGTAGGCTATTTGGTGGAACCACCAGAGCGTATTGAACCCATACAACCTGCTAAGCATCCACAAACGGATATTGTTTATATTCGCTTTCTTGTACGACCATTTACTGCTGAACAATTGCGTCAAATGGTTGTAACTCATTTCGGTCCAGTTGTTGATCTATGGCTGGATAAAATCAAATCATCTTCACTTATACGCCTGCAAACAGTTGAATATGCTGCAAAGTAAATAAAATTTATTGATTAACGTAGTTTATATACACTGAACCGTTTATCTATAAACTATGTATTACTTGTATGTCTACTACTATTTCTACTACTGTATAAATGAAGTTTATATATATGACCAATTTTTTGGTGTTACTTTTGTCTCACTACTCAAATAGATTGAAATTCTTAGTGATTCTAATTTCTTGTCCAGTATGCAAATTTCTAATCATTGATAACCTATTGGTGAAGCCACTTCTCAAGATGAACTGTCATCGTTTTTCAGCTAACCTTTTCTTATCCAACTTGAAAATAATCATTCTTTGTACTACCAATTGTGTATAATAAAATGATCTGAGTATGATGCTTCCTATCGTATGTCTTAATTGTTGCCTAGATATCATGTTTTCTGACGTAAACATTTGAGATTTAACATCATCATACATTGCACATACTTCTTGATCTAGTTAGAACTGGTTCTCTTAATTAAAGTTGTAAATGAAAGTTGACCAATTGTCGAATGTGATATGAATTTCCTTTGAGTTATTGCTGCACCTTAGCTATTAGTGTAATTTATCTGTAGATCTGGGGAAACTGGCATCACCATATGTTTGTCATTGAAGCTCTAATTATCACAATATCTATTTAATAATTAAATACGTTTAAATATTGACATATTTCATTCCATACAGATGTCGTGACGGATTAGATGGAAGTCGTTGGCCATCAATGAACCCACGTGTGTTACGCTGCGACTACGCAAGTACAGATTTATTTGAATGGATGAAGGTCAACGGAGATTCTAGTGATCTTCAACCACCGAAGCATTTGTTACTTGGTGACGCTTCTTCAAATACAGAGATTTCCATAGTGGAAGCTGATAAATCGGGTTTGTACTTTTCGATTTTTATAATTGATTCATTTTTTCTCTCAATTCCATTTGTAAACACCTATCAATGAATTATAGTTATATTAAATATCGAAGTTTTTTATTTTGAATCAACACAATTTAATCCTACAACTTAAATTATACCCTTTTTTGAGGTTCTAAAATTTCTATAGCGATGAACTTGTTTATAGTCACCGATGAGCTAAAGGTTCTCACGCTGTTTCACTTTATTCAATTTAGAAAACTGGATAGTATCACTAACCCTACTCTGTGTAACTTAACGCTCTGATTAGTAGATAATTTTATATTAACACCTCAATCCCAGCTACGCAAATCGAATATCAATACAATTTTAAATCCAATGTGAATACTTTTCAACAAAACTTGTATCACGCTCTCAATAACTATTACCCAACCCCAAATTAATAAGAAGACAAATATTTTATTTTCCGCTCCAACCTAAGATAATACACAGGAAACTGTGTCCTCGTAAATCTACCATCCAGATTGTGAGTTCCATGGTGTTCGGTTCAATAGCACACACGATCTAAAAGTTTGAATTGGTGACCTTTAACATATCGTGTTTGCCTGATTCTAGTTGGATTTTTTTAAAAGAAAAATCAATACAAACTATATTTTTACTTTTACAGTAACTTTCATTGTTTTGTTGGTATAAATGTGTAACGTTAAACTTTATTGCTTATTGTTTCGTATATCTTATCTGTTATAAGTGGTTGTTGAATAATGTGGTTCTAGAAAGGTTACAACATCGCATACACTATATTTTCTTTACCCTTTCGATCAAATTTCCCGTAAAATTTTGTTTTGGGTTCCGATCAAAATTACGGCTATAATTGTTATTAATATTTTGAAATTTTCGTTTTTCATACTTTTTAATTTCCTTATTCACTAAAACCAAAATGATCATAGAATTACTCAATTTTGTTAAGAATACTAAAGTCATACTGAAAACAGTAACCGCGAATACATTTTTTTAAATTCGATTTTCCCTTTTCTGATTAGTTACCTCTTTCAGTTTACTAACTTTTTAAATGTTTGAAGGATACTTTGACGTTGCTAAGTATATTGGATTGTATCGGAATATCAATTGTTTTAGGCATTTCGTTTTATTGTTTAGTTAACAGCTTATTGTTATACTGTTGTGTTTAGTTGGTGTTACTGAGTTCGTAGTGAAACCATTAGTATAAAATTAGCTTAATTGATCCTAAATTCACAAGTATCGTAACCCAACCGAAATCCTTAATATACATGATCGTTTTTGTTAAAACCACTATACTTATTCTCTAATGTTTGTTATCATAAATCGATTTAAGATTCTACAAATGTCTATACAATAACTAACTAATCAAATTTGTATTAGTTTCATGTATGTGAAGTATTTATAAAATGTAAAAATATAAAGTATATATCGTTAACATTTACAGAAATTTCACTTTGATTTGTGTAATTGACAGTATGTTTTCGAAGTATTATAGATTCAGTAGTAGAAATTTCTTTAAAAAAAACGCAGTTTGTATTACACTGTCACTAAGTCTGTTCCTTTCAAACTGCTTACGTTTTCGATGTTCTCTGTAATTCAGTTTTATTTGAATTAAGATCCTATGCACTACTGTTTGTGATACCAATAACATTCAACAACCTTCACAACATTATACTAATAATTATTATGTGCTCACTAGTGATTAATTTCATTGTATTCGATGAGATGTGATCACGCGATATCACAGATTGATTAAAGTTAGACTTTCACACCATTGGATGTCGTTTTAGTGGTTTAAAGGTTAAGTGTTCACATGTGAGACTAAAAGATCTGGATTCTATCCCTTGTGGTAGGTCCGTGAATACTTCATTACTCCGGGGTCCCCCATACTAAGAGGGAGAACCTGTCCGGTGCTTTTTGATTTTCAGATCGATTTGTGAAATCGGTGGCATGCAATAGTCTCCACAAGTATTTATATTGTCAGTTGTTTGTTAAACTACTGATGTGTCATAAAATTCCTTTGTTTTACCATACTTCTGTGTTCGTCATTGTCCTCATTCTCTTTCTCCGTTATATGAACTATTTTCCTGATAAGTGTTTCGTTCTGTGTTTTTAGATAATGGTTTTACGACATCCACCGACCAAGAAAAAAAACCTACCGATCTAAGACGAAAATTAGAACGAAGCAATCGAGACATAGAGCAGCCACTTTCTGTTACCAAATCTCTACAAGGTGAAAATAAAGAGTCTCCAATAGCTGAAGCGAAACGTAAGTATTTAGTCTGATTCAATATTGTGTCATACTTGTCTGATTTTACTTTCCTGTTTATCTTCATCAAGTCTTTGCATTGTTGAAAAAACATTGAGTTGATACTTTTATTTGGTAATAAGTCGTGTCGCTGTTGGGTTGAGTACTCTTTCGTCGAACATGTGAAGTTAATACCGTTTTAGCTGTACGAATTACGCCATAAGTTACTTGTATACAAAAGCCGCCAGTTAATTTGTAGTGATTTAGGCAAGCACTAAACTTTTATTGGGTCAAAGTTCATAAATCAGAAAATGTCGTTTAACGCCGATAACCGGACTACATTCATTACTATCTCTTTTCGCCTAAAAGACCGAAAAAAACGAGGAGAATACAATAAATTTTCTAACTAGTGTTTATTATTTAGTCAGTATTGTTATCGTGAAGTGATTACTTTTTCAGTTTTCTGAATTATAAAATGGACTGAAAAGTGTGATACATTGGGAAAAGTAGTCAGGCCGTTGAAATTTTTGTCGTTCATTTTCTGCACTTATCGAACTATTTTTATTCCCTACGTCGTGTTGACTACGACTGAAATTAATGGAATAGAGACAACATTGAGGAAGTTGCGTTGAAGCTATTATTGTTTCTGAGCACTCAGATCTCAATTTTCGTATCTCATGTTTAAGCTGAGTGGGATGGTTTTTAGCTGTTAAAGCTTTCGACTTTTAGCCGATAAGCTCCAAGTTCGAATACTGCTACACTTTCGGTTTGTGTAAGCAGATGGTACCACTAGCCTGTACTCTCACAGTTTGGCCCATACATAAATACCTGATGAATTAGTCAACTATTTTCATATCTAAATATACTTATTATTGTGTAAGGTACTTAAAATAATGTCTAACCTGCATACAAAAATGCATATATTTTCACCTCTTTTATACAATGAATAAGTTGTATTGGTGTATAACGCGAGTGTTGAGACATTTATTTATTTATTTCAACACATAGATATTGGTACAAAGAGGCACCAAATACATATGCGCCACACAAATCTCATTCGATATGTGTGAGTGCCGTGATACTGCCAGGGTGCCTAAACCGAAGCAGGGTTGAGACAATAATGTTAGCAATTATGTGGTTAGGCTTCAGGTGGCGAGGCGATGAATCGCATCATAAGGTGACGAGCTTTCATCGTTCAAGGTAGTTAGAACACGTTTTGCGTTCTGAAGTAGTTTAAGAGAATGCCAGTGGCAGCCAAATTGAAACGTGGGACCATAGAATTTATGTAAGTCATGTTGGTAGATGTAGGTTATCTGGATGGGGTCCACGTGAAAATATTAATCACTAACTTGAAGACTTCGGGTAACATGAATCGAAATGATTCACAGTGGTTGTGATGCGTTTGCCTTTTGTTTTCCTTTAGACCACGACTCCCTAAATTTCCTTTAATCTATATTTTCGAAGCATTTACTGGTACCATATGTACTGTTACTACCACAGTTATTCGCCTCAACAATTTCATCTCGCTGCGGTAATAGGGTTCGGCAACTTGGACAGATCTGCACATGTGTCGTCGGCTTCCATTTCTCATCCGACTGATATTTTGATATGTCAGTCGAATTTGAATCACTATTTTTAAATGGCACTATGGTAATTAGCTATTTGTAGACGTGTCACTTTTTCTATGATTATTTATTATTATTGTTATTATTATTGTTTCGATGCCCATTCGATTTAGCTAAAAGTGAAGAACCTGCAAAGTTGTTGAACAATTTATTTCGTAAGACAATCGCCACTCCTTCCGTCTATTGGCTTCCTTTAACACCTGAACAGGTAAGTAAAATCTGTTTAATTCTGTTTCGCATTATTCATGTCCCCTATAAAATTGAGCCGTGCTAGAATAACATGTAGGGAATAAATCAGTACACTGTAAAATCATGTAACAACATTTCACTATTCTTTCATAATTTATCCACTTAATCTTCAGTCATACCTTGACATGTACATCCACTTAATCTTCAGTCATACCTTGACATGTACATAGTTTCAGATATTTTTGCTTAGGAGAGATGGGATGATAAACGTAATTTTTGAAATCAAGTACACTAACCAGGATATGGTTAGCGAGTCACATCACTGTCAATTCATAAACGATAAGTAGTAGATGCCAGAAAAATGTAGAGGATAATGACATCAAGTGTTTACTTTTAAAGTTGTTTGATTAATGGGGAAAAACATACTAATTACTTTTATTTTTTAGTTTGTAATTTCGGTTTGTTTCACACCAACATTCTCTACAAGATCCACGCTCCATTTTTTATCACCGTTTTAGACATTTTTACTATTGGTCGACTACTCTCCCTATTTCTCGTGTTCTCTGTTAGAAACATGCTATAAACTCACACGGTTTGTCTGAATTATTCTTCTTTTGTTCTATGGATGCGAAACTCCCATGAGAGGTTGTGCTTTCGAGTAGCTAGAATTAGGATAAAAAAGTTTTCTTACTGTCTAGTTGTCCTAATCGAAATTAGCTGTTGTTGTCGTTGGTCCAAGATACTTCATTTCCAACAAAATGTTTCGATGCATCCGACCAATAACTATTTCACCAGTTTTAAGCAATTAGTTTATAACTCTATATGCTTCCATGAACTGAAATTCAAATCACTCACGCTTTAGTCTAATCGACTCAACATTAGCAACACATTTTGTTATGCTGTCTGTTTCGAATATAATTGGTGTTTCACTGTGCCACTTCTTACTGTCTTCTCTGGTATCATTCACAATGATTTCTTAAAGCCCATTAAAAATATCAAGTTATTTTGTTTCATCGTTTCGTTTTTTACTTTGAAAATTGATTAGGTTAATCGACGAATAAAAAAATCTGTTGCTGAGAAATCGGATGCTAAAAAAACCACAAGCCGACATTCCTCACATCCATCAGAAGAGCCAGTACAAAAAGCGACCCGTAGTCCATTTGCTAATTCTTCTTCATCTTCGGCTTCTCCTCCTTCCTATCCTTCTAGTTGTATTCCCAATCAATCTCGCAGGAATCCAACCACAGATCGTAGCTCTAGACCAAAAATCCCAGATGCAAAGTTGTCCTCCAACTTTAAGTCGAGTGGTGACATTGTTAGACATAATTCGACCAAAAAACCAGTATCAGGTAATGTATTGTATGACAGTAAACGTTCAACTTCTGAATCTAAACCGAAATCTACCAGAGATTCAAAAGGTGAGAGTCGTGACATCGTAGCAGACGACAATAAACAACAAGGTCGGTTGTCAAAACAAGATACTACATCTAATAATCCTACTTTGTCGAAAATTGATAAACCATCTGATAATAGTCGCAAAAAAGAATTGGTAAGTTTATCTTTTTATACTGTCATTGTTATGTTTAAACTAGAATTGATTTCAAAACACGTGCTCCGAAAATCTCATGGTTTATGTCTATTGATTTATACACATTGCTGTGTACATACATATGTCCTGATTAGAAAATTATTATATACTGACGACCTTGGTTGACTGATCAGCCAGTCAGAAAGAACTGTTCAGTTGTAAAACTATTAACAGTGGTCCATGCAGCCACGATTAGGTCTGAAACCAGCCTGGTTTTCTCGTGTTTTAGCAGTTCACGAGTCTTTGTTAGACGTCCGATAATTATTGAGGCTAGTATTTTAGATGCTATGTTAGTTAAACTAATCAGTCTATGGTTATCGCAGAATGGTTTTGAGCCCTTCTAGTATATTGGGACCTGTTCGCGTGTATAACTGAACGTCACGGATTGCATCTCCACTGTTGAAGTTGGAAATACCCAATCCTGACGAGTCTTATGCTAGGAAAATGCAACTGTCTAGTATTTACTGGTTCCCAGTTGTCTAGATAAGATCAATTAAAACTATGAAAACTCACAGACTGACACCAACTATAATGCAATGCCTTGCCATCTCCCTGTTTACTTACTCCAGAAGAATGGAAGGACATCGTGTTACTTCATTGAGCACTTGATTAGACAATGACATTAATTGCTCTGATCCACAATTTGCCCGAGAAAAAAGTATGTCGCTTAGTTTAGCCTAAGGACCATCTAAAATTCACTCAATCGTTTTATCGTAAGTATTTTCATTGATTTCAAACATTTTAAAAATAAATTGTCAATTTTCTCTTTGGTTACAATAGCTTACGTGTTATTTATCATCCCCAATATCTCCCCTATTTTATGGCGTATGTTCATGGAGTTCACCTGCATCTTGACTGTTTGTCCTTTCTGTTGTCGTAGTAACCACCTCTTGGAACATAGGTCGATTTGTTCGGACGTTAGTCTCGACACACTTATTGCGAACTTCTAGCCTAAAAACATATCAATGAATATCGTACAGAGACAAGTGTATGACCATCTAAGCTTTCAGGTTTTAATTTAAGCGGTGATAAGATGCCATGAACCCATTATTGTTTCTTCTTCGCTAATATTTTCTGATTATTTTTCCTATTGTGAAAACATTGTTGTGAATGCTTTTAAAAGATTTGCTAACTCATCTTAAAATTAACATTATTTTTCACTATTTAGTCTCCATCTACACATACGCGAAAACGCCGTTACTCAAAGACGGATAGCGATGATAAAGAAGCGATTCCTTCAAAACAAAGTCGACCGAGCTTGACATCATCTGGTGATTCATCTGTTGTAGGTGAGGCATTGGCAGCCTATAAGAAGAACCATATGGGGACACAACATCATCGTTCGGAACACCGTAGACGTTCATCCAGCAATCGTCATAGTTCTCCAAACCGTCGTAGTAGCTTTAAGAATAGTTTTCCAGAAGGTTCTCGTGTCAAAAACAAGACAGATTCTATGTCACATTCTCGTGACAGCGGTCGACGTCGTTCACGTTCATTAAACCAAAGACATCGTTCTCGATCTACTGAACGTAGAGATCGTTCCTCATCAAATCGTTATCGATCACGACGTTGACTTAGTGTTTTATATCATTTGGATCAATATTCATACACATACATACAAATGCATTGTATATGGCATAAAATCTCATTGTTTTTTGCTGACGTTTTCTTCTTGTGTTATAATTCTTCTCTTTGTTATCCGAAAAATATATTGTTTTGTCATTTTGTGATGACATTGTCAGTTCAATGAAATATGAACATGAAATTTTATTCATTTTGCATTTCTACTTTTAAAAAAATATAGTAATAAAAATCAAAATGATCCTATTTGTGATTTTGATAAATTAAGTGTTGAACTGTAGTAGTTTCACATGAAACTGTTGGTGTTTTCCCGTATGAAATTCCAAAAAAAATATTCATCTTTTATTAGAAATAAATCGTTTTGCGTGGTAAAATGATCCATCGTTATTCGGACGCCGTTTGTCATATGAGGAGTGGTAATACTGCCTGCCTTGATATTGACCAAAAAGGGTGTTTGAATAAGTTCGACACGTGTTTCAATAACAACATACGAAGTACGGTGGGTTAGATGTCAACAACACAGTCATTACACTCTTCTGTGTGAAGAATTAACGTTGAATTTACGATGTTTCGTAACCATTATTTTAAATTATTAGGATTTTCGATGAAGCAAAATGTAACGTTAAAGGGATGCATTTAAGGTCGAACTGGTTTTTGATATACAATGTGAGAATGCATCCATAGGTGAATTCGTTCATTGTCATCATCATTATGCATAAGTGAATCTGATTCATTCCATTTTGCATTGTTGATAATAACTTTGTATTAGCAGTGTGTTTTGCAGTTCGAGAATGTTTTCGCTTATTTATTTATTTGAACACATGAATACTGGTACAAGGGGGCACCAGATATATATGCGCCAAATAAATCACTCGATTTTATGTGAGGTCTGGGATGCTATCCGAGTGTCCAGACCGAAACAGGTGGTTTTCTTAGGGAGCCACACCCGGAGCCTTCCACCTAAAGGTCTCATCCACAAGGCAGTGGAGCATCGTAAGGAGATGCAGAACCATGGTAGCCGGTGACCAACGATTGGTTCATACGCCATTTGTTTTCCCAGGATTCTGAAGCCCATGTGCATTAGTGGTTTGTAATCAGGGTTTCCCAACTCCCCTTAGTGAATCCCACGTATCCACCAACCCGGTTAAAGCGTCGGACATTCGCATTTCATCCTCTCGATTTCGTAAACAACACTCCCGCCACGAGAAGGCAGTGAGTAGGATTCTTATCACAGGCTATACATGCTCGGCCATATGAGCGGACTATCCCCACTCTCGGTTGTACCATGTCATTTGGGGGTAAATAAATCGTTTTCTCTAATTGCGTAATGCACAATCGGTAATCGATCTATCAACTAAAAGACGAGTATACTGCGCGGCAGTCCGTACTGTTTTACTCTACGACTGCGAAGCATGGCCTTTAAGAGTTAACAGTATTTGATTGCAGATACCTTTAGAAATATTTCTCGCATCTCTAGGGATCACCGTGTAAGTATTAGTGAGGTTAGATGCAGAGTATTAAGGAATGATGGTAAATCAGTTGATCAGGCTGTAAATCTTCATAGGCTAAGATGAATGTGCCGCGTATTACGTATGCCTGAACACCGCTTACCACCACGAGCAAGTTAGGAGCGGCCAAAACAAAACATAGGATCAGTGCTTGAAGTCACTGACTTCTAGGGTGAGCCATGTTGGTAGATGTAAACTACTTGGATGGGGTTCACGCGAATATCGTAACCAATGGTTGAAGACTCGGTGTGTTATGGTTCATAATCGATCTCAATGGCGTCGGTGTTTACACTCTTTGTCTTCTCCTAAACCGTGAGATTAAAATTACTTTATATATTTCTTTCTACGAAGTAATTCCTCCCTGTTTAATATCCTAATACACAATCTTTTTTTTATACATTACTACCATTGTAGTGACTACTTTTATGAATATGTTGTTCATCTTGTATGCTAATGAGGTGTTGCGTATATGTGCCTGGTCGTACGGCGTAGCTGACTGACACGCGAACAGTAAACATCCAAGCTACTGAACTGATATGTCTATTTTCAGACAGTCTGCAATATCTCCCATTGTCTACACTGGATAACTATTCTCGAACTCCATTTGTCCAATTGCCTTCATTGCCAATACACGTTTCCTATATAAATAATAAATGCTGTTATCCTGAATTCTATTTGCAATATTATAACTGTCAGGCTATAATACTTCCTCCAATCACAAACGGAGTATAAATCCCTCTCAAGATCATAAGTACATCTTGCTGACAAATAACACACTGCTTCAAAACTCAAATCGAGGAATATTTTCTGCCGACTTTTTGTCAACTGTATAACATCTTAGCATATTACGTGCGCTGCCTAATTATTTAGACTATTGGTCATATTGCAAATTGAATATTATAAAATTTTAACTATAAATATGACTGAACTATGTCAGAAAAATGGCAGATTGACTTAACTAGGCACCTCAATATTTTTGTTGAACATAAGTTTTACGTTAGTGGATCGATATAATCAGCTTATTATTATTTCAAAGTGTATTCACATTTCAATCACATTCTAACTTAAACTTACCATTATAATTTACATTACGAAATGATCTTAGTTATCCAGAAATTAAAATTCCTGAAGAAATTAAACAACTATTATATCCTAGTATAGAATACCGTCGTCAGCGTACAATCTAGATCCTATCATCAGTGAGTCAACGCATAATTTGAAACCTTCAGGTGAATCTTTATTCTTTAGACAACTAAGTAGGTATTTCAAAGTGAGCATATTTTTACATTCAATCAATTCGTGATATTACACAATCATCTTCCAAATTTTTCTATAAAATAGAATCAATTGTGCTGGAAATAGCTAATGATTAATTCTGAATAATAAGATAAATAACCATCAAATATAAGGAAAATCTTTGAAATTTATAAACTGTATTTGTTATGATATTTGTCCGTTAATTATCGTGATATGGTAACCAATCAGAATACGACTTATACAATCTTGGCACTATGCTATACCAATAACATATTGACCGATATGAACAACTTAGCATCCTATTTGATCTTTTCCCCTGGCTGTTAAGTCCAGAATACCAATCTCAGCCTCCAGGATATGAATCATTTATTTCAAACATACTTGGTTTATAATACCAGTCAAATAGACTGCGTCATACCATGAAATAGGAAATAAAATTTGTACAAGATCAAGCCCAAAAGTGGCAGTGAACGTCGGAAGACTGTAATCAATTAACTGGGCATAATTTAAGAACAGTAAACCGTATCATAATAGTCCACAGGTCAAAATGAAGCTTATAATAACAGGAGTATGAATAAACATAATCTAGTTACTGAATAGTTAAACAATAAGAATATATGTATAATCCATTAACAGTTCTCAGAAGTTAGATTAATCTTCACTGTGAGTTAACAATATTGACGTATATTATTTTGTTGCTAATTCAACAATATTATTGAACAACAAAACTAACTAGCATTATGTCAAATGCTTTATACGAACCGATTAAACTGAAAAGTGAATTTCATCTTCTGTTAGAACACGTACTATTTTATAAATACAATTATTTCTTTGTAATGTTATGTATTGCATTTTCGGAATTGTATCCCAGTTTAATTAGCTTAGGTTCATGTTCTCAACGGAAATATTGAAAGTTCATCAGTTGAGATGGCTGGAACATGTGCCCAACCACCAACTGCCTCGACGAGCGATATTTTATGGTGTAGGAGTAGATTGGAAGAAAGCTAGGGGCAGCCAGACCAAAACATGGCACAAATCCATGAAGTCATTGACATGTGGACTGAGCTATGCTCGTAGGTGTAGACTACCTGGTTGAGATCTACGAGGCAATAGCAACAGATGTTTAGTAACCTTGAATGACATGGCTCAAAATCAATTGCAATGGTGCAGGTGCATCCACTATTTGTGTTCTCCCAAATCCTAATCTACTGAATTTTTCATGTCCCTTTATTTCTCTTTCCAAATTTATTTCACTGGATTATACTCCTTGAATAATATCTTCAAACCATAGTCTTTCGAATTACTGCTTATACTCTTACTAGTTCTACCACTATGGGATTTGAATTTACAATTGTATATCTGTGGTAATGTGGTGTAGCAACTCGAACTGATGTACGTACATACGAAGTTCTACGTTGTTGGCTGACTGACTGTTAACTGGTAATTGTCGTAGCACAGTGAAAAGTTATATTGAAGTAACTAATCTATAACTGATTCGAAACAAATGTTAAACTGAACGATTATCACATTAGATTTATCGACAGTATTCATACTTCTAATTACTTCTTTTCAAACGCTAAAACATAGTTGAATATTAGTGAGCAAATCTACAACACTTTTCTAGAAAATACGCATAAAGTGATCAAGACTAATAAATTAGTGCTGGTTCAATAGCTTATATTCTCAGAGAGTTAGTCATAGTGAACGTAAAGCCTAGTATATATATATGCGTTACAATACCATATTAGCATAGTGAGATCAGAAATAACCACATAAACAGCAAAAGAGAACTAAATAATATACTACCAATGATAATGAGAGAGGCTAGAAGTTCATGTTTATTACAGACTAAAACAAATTCATGAGAAATTGAAAAATATCTTATAAACTAAACTCATACATAAATCAGTTTATTAAGTTTTTGATTGAGATCATGAGCCGATTGATGTTAGACCACCGTTGGGAATCTGGAAGCACTGGACAACCGTTTCGTCCTACTGTGGGACTCCCTAGCAGTGCGCATCCACAGTTCCACTCGCGGGACTCGAACCTATACATAAATCGTTCCACGTATAGCAGGTCACATGCATTTGAGTTTCTTGATATTTGATCTGGTTAAGCCCTTTTAGTAACTTATTCAACAGTCACTCGTATAACAACAATCTACCTATACCAATGTACCTTTATTATGGTTGCACTTGTACGAATATGTATGCTAGAGCATTGCTTACCGCCTACGCAGATAGTCATTCTGCTAGCTTTAGTGTTAGTTGCTTAAATGATACGATGGTTCATTCATTTCCCGATGTTTACATAATCCTATTCATGAACTCGTTCATTTGTTCTTCTACACTCGCTTAACATTCTTGCTTCGTGTGTCTGTGGTTTTAGTGATCTGTGCGTGATGCAATAATAAACGTAATCAACGCCTTGTATTCGTCTTCTGATTTATATACCATCGGGCGTTATCTAGTAACGGTTGTATCGTATACCAACCATCGCGTACGTCTATAGGTAGTACCGCAATTCAAATCCAAATACGAACGAGATGTGACAACTAATCAAATTACTCACCCAACCAAATTTACCAGCGATATATTTCTATTAAGATTACTACTATGGGTACCTGAACTGGATAGTGATTGATGTCAGCGACATACAACCTAACACATATGCATATTACTACAGCACGATGAGATTATCAAGACAAATCTCAGTCTAGTAAAAGTAGTAATAATATCAGTGGTATTTAATTTGCATATAGTAACTGACGACCATGCGTTAAATCTTATTTACCACCCAATTAATGCAATTCATCGATTATCAGCTTTCATGGTCCAGAAATGGGTTTTCCAACTGAGAACTAATGAATTAACTACTGAATGGCTAAAAGCACACTACATGCAAATATTCTATCACGCTATTTATATTTCGAAAGACTGCCTAGTTCGATAATTGCATGTATGTATAGCAGAAATTGTAGAGGATACTCATAAATCTTTTGGAACTGTCCTAATTGCGGTGAAATGAGGTTAGAATGTTCAATGCAAAGAGTGTCCTGAATTTTACTAAAGGGGAGAGGATATATCACTGGAGCATTTTGGACTATGACAATAGAGTAACTACTCTCCCCACACTTAGATTCATAATATTAGACGACCTTCACTCTACCTATCGGGTTACAAAGAAATGAAAATCTCTTGCTCATTAAACTTGGTGACCTGAGAAAGATGCTGATACAAGACAAAAATGGATAAATTGTCCTGCTTTTTCACATGAACTATCGTACAGTAAACTTGGAATATTTGGTTTTCATCTTATGAATCGTGAAAACGCAAAAAAATGCAGATTATTGTCCTATTTAAAAACTCATATTTTGCTTTAATTATTGATATATGTTCCATAAGTATTACGACAGCCCAGCTAAACTCTCTAAATCTCGCATAAGCTGAACTCATATATTGAATAAAATATCATCAGAAGTAGTTTTACAGGGAATTATAATTCACAAAATTAGTATTTGGATGGAAATGATTTTTGGTTTGAATGACCATTCAGTTCTCATCAGACATATAGACCAAGTGAAGATTAATTACGGAGGTGATTTCAACTTAACCGATCATTCTCTAACTGATCTTATTTTAAACTTCAAATAGATAGTTTCAATTTTAAATCTTCTGGTTAGCGTCTCTTTGGCGAGTTAGTTTTCTACGGGATGGGGTCGCTAACCCCATGCCCAACACTCCTCCTTTATCCGGGCTTGGGACAGGCAGTAGCCCCAGAGGGGCTCCACGTGGAGTTTAGGAAGAAGCAATCCTAACGATTCCTTATTATTAATTACTCCGAATTGCAGACAGATGAAAATGAAGGTCAGAATACCAAATAATTGAGATATGAAAGAATTACAAATAAACCAAGACTACACTATAAACATATAAAGAGCCAATGTGTGGCAGTTGTGATGAATAACTAGTACATTTACTGTACAAATATTTTATAATATTCTATAACCTGCTATAACAGTACAACGAAGTCTCATTATGCGTACTTTAAATTCGACTTTTTGTCGAAATCTTAGCCTTAACAGGATTAGACTATTTCGAATTCACGAAAACGTTAGGCAAAGACAATATGATTCGAGAAGATTGAATTCACGAAATAAAATAGATAATTTTAAAAACTAGAGTATGAGGAAACTCAGACGGTAGACGCATATGTGGCACTGTGATCAGTTGCACGATGTGTCATCTAATGTCTCCAACCATTGGTCAGGATAATTGCAGAACATCAAACTAGTTAGTCCCTATCTGCCAACATGGCTCAGATTAACATTCAACGAATTTATAGACTAATGCCACGTCTTGGTTTGGTGATCCCTAGCTTCTTTTTAACTTTCCTCTATATTAACAAATATTGCATGTTGAAATAGAAGATAGTTGATAATTAGGCATGCGAACCACATACCCACACCAACTCAATAGACAAAGATTCACTAATTCATCAACTGCTTCACTCTATCTACCAACCGAACAGTAGATCCTGAACCGTCTTAACCTGGATCTACTTTAATGTGATCGAATTACATAACTGTTTTTTTATTATACAGAAAATTATCAATATGCTTACTGTATAGTTAAAATAATGTTTAAATTAACTAAGAGTATCTGTTTTTTTATACAGTATTATTTTATCAGGTACTTTACACCCTTCTCCTCAATTACCACTTGTCAATAAAGTAACGATCGCATAAAGGAAGGTGACGCTTATTGCTGAAAGTAAGTAAGTAATAACAGTAATAGTAATAAGAATAAAAATATATAACAAAACTACGAGATAGGTAATAAGCTATTTACATAGAATATATATATATATATATATATATATATATATATATATATATATATATATATAAACAGTATTATGATCCATGGAAATAATTTTGATATGCTACCTCATGAATACGTCGATTATCTTGAGGTGTCATATGGACATCATTTGGAATATAATAACTAAATGGTTGACGATCAGATGGTTTCATCATAGTCCGTGGAATATTTAACGAATCTTGATAATGATGATGACGTTGACGATGATAATGATGATTTTGATTCAAATCATATGGATGATAATTGTGATGGGATCTCTTGTTTGAAGAAGAAGCAGGCATTGAACAATATGGTGGAGCATTATTTTGTTGTTGTTGTTGTTCTTGACCAGCTAGAATGGATCAATTATACAACAATAATAATAAAGGAACAAGAAGAAAAAAGGTTGAACAGAGAAAGTAATTAAATCAATAAATAAACTATGTGATCAAGATCACGAAATGTTTGATTGTTAATTCAGGGATAGCTTATGTCTGTTGGGTAGGGGGTGTGGAAATTATTAAGTTTCATAATTTATATCACGAACAAATGTTAAACAGATAGCCAATGGAAACAAAGAAGTTCAAGACAGCTCCTTATTTTTAGTACGACACCTCATAGCGGGAGCCTTCAAACACACCATGATCTAAATTAGGACCTTCAGGTAACGGTTGAACTTTAGTCTACTGATTCATCTCCGTAATTCAGATTTAAGATAACCAGTGGTAGTGAAAGATGCTTGGGCGAGACCATGAACCGACAACTAATAGATTATTTTATTCCAAATTAATGTTCTATAGTATTTCACTTCCGAGTTATTTATTTATTTGAACATATAAATATTGGTATAAGAGGGCACCCAATATATATGCGCCACGAGTTGAAGAGCTTCCCGATCTAGATGGAAAACAACGCAAAACGTCTGATACACAAGACAGTGGAGCATCGTAAGCAGATGCAGTTTCATGGTAACCGGGGACCAATAATTGATTCATACGCCATTTGTTCCCCCCAGGATACTGGAGCCAATGTGCACTATTGGTTTGGAATCAGGGTTTTCCAACTACATTAGGTGGATCCTTCGTATACACCAACCCGGTTAAAGCGTCAGACATTCGCTTTTCGTCCTCTCAATTTCGTAAACAACACTCCCGCCACGAGAATGTAGTGAGTAGGACTTCTCTGGCAGTGGTTTTATGTACATGGTCATGTGAGAGCATTTCGAGAGGGTAAGCTGACACTCTCCACTCTCAACCGTACCAGGTCATTTGTGGGCAAGTATATCGTAAAGAATCGACACTTTGTAGGTTAAAAATTATATATTTCAAGTGTATGTTGCACAGCTGAAGCACACAATTTGTATAATCGTAGGATTAAAGGTACTTTCATTCTAAACAACAATGCAAGCATGTTCGGGATGCGATTCTATCCCTTCGAAATGCAAAATATCCTCAAGTGGTGTTCTTCAGGGATGTTCACTCTTTCCATTCTTGTTTAACTTTGTCATTGACGTGCTTTTAGAGATAACATTTTCCTGATCTAAATTTCTAGGAGTTGAACTCCTAGCGGGAGGTTCACTTGTTAACTTAGAATATGCTGATGACATAGTTTTATTTGGTGAAGACGCTGACAAAATGCAGTCTTCTGACCACTCTAAGCAACAATGCAAGCATGTTCGGCATGCGATTCTCCCCTTCGAAATGCAAAACGTTGCTTTAGGATTGAGTTGCATCGACACCCGAACTAATGATAGAGAGTGAAGTAGTTGGACGTGTCGACCGCTTCATTTATCTGGAAAGTCTCATCAGCCATTGTGGTCTGGTGTGTGAAGAAATCTCAGCACGGATACAGAAGGCTCGACTAGCTTTTGCTAAATTGCGTCATTTATGGCGTAGGCGAGATATCCGCCTATCAACCAAAGGACGGGTTTACTGCGCAGCAGTTCGTTCCGTCCTACTTTATGGCAGTGAAACATGGCCGGTAAGAGTAGAGGATATTCGTAGGTTACTAGTATTTGATCATAGATGTCTTGGAAACATTGCTCGTATATTCTGGGAGCATCGAATAAGTAACACAGTTGTTAGGAAACGGGTACTAGGTAAGGATGGCAAATCAATTGATGAAGTAGTGAAACTTCATCAGTTGAGATGGCTGGGACACGTGTTACGTATGCTCAACGACCGACTGTCTCGATGTGCGATGTTCAGTGGTATAGGAGTAGGTTGGAAGAAAGCTAGGGCGGCCAGACCAAAACATGGCACAAGTCCATGAAGTCACTGACAAGTGGTCTGAGTCATGTTGGTAGGTGTAGACTACCTGGTTGGGGACCGCGAGATGATAGCAACCGATGGTTAGAGACCTTGAATGACATGGCTCAAAATCGTTTGCAATGGCGCAGGTGCATCCACTATTTGTGTCCTCCCAAATTTTGATCTCCTGATTCCCCCTTGTCTCTTTTTTCTCTTCCCAAGTTTATTTCACTGAATTATACTCTTTAAGTAACATCTTCAAATCCTAATCTTTGCGATTACTTTTTATACTTTTACTACCTTTACCCCTACGGGGTTTGAATCGACAATTGCATCTTTGTGCTAATGTGGTATGGCAACTCGAACTGATGTATGTAAGTAAGAAGTTCTATGTTGTTACTGACTAACTCACATTCACTTAATAACATACGGAAAACTTCCACAAATTTATTATTAATATCTAATTGAATACCAACATGACTTATGTATTCACATTTGACAGAATAATTAAAACTATTTAGTAAAGAAACAATAACTGGATCTGTAAACAAACAACAACAAACAACAACAAACAAAATTTCAATAATAAATATACATTAAATTAATGGTTACTTACATGTAAACAATAATAATTCTTTATATTGTGTTGCATTTAATTTTAAAGCTTTTTCAGCAGTTCTATGATCCATAATACGACAATTATTAATTTTCTCTTCCCATTTTTGACGTAAATCAATTAATTTATCATTGAATTGTTTACGTATTAATTTAATTCTTTCAGCACATAAAGATGTTGGCCATGTTGTCCAAAGTGTAATTGCTTCTTGATAAGATAATTTTAATTGAATAGCTTCATCATCTAACCATGGAGCTAATTGATGATTATGATTATTTTGTTTTTTTAAAAAAAAATAATTTTATGTAAACAATAAAATCTATTCACATTAGATATTAATCGATGAATTAAGTAGATCTTTTCAATTCTTATTAAGATTATGTTATATCCCGATGAAAGTATAATGTGAATGATAACTCTTTAGGATCCATTGATGGATCAATACTATGAGTATATTTTGATTGTATAATTGTTAATGAACTAAACTATTCATATTTGTGTCCTTATTATTATGAGTTTTATTTTGATCTATGAATTATTATTATTATTATAAGATTTACCATTCTTGAGTTATGGCCTGTCTATGAATTACTATCTCCTTTTATTCACAACCACATTTGGCTAAATCTTGTACAAATGTTATTTTCTATTTTATGGTATCATGTGGTCAGTTTGGTTTGTATTATAAACTCAGTAGGTTTGAAATCAATGATTCATATCGCAGAGGCTGTGATTGATGTTCTGTACTTAAAAGGCTTGCCTATGAAGGAAGCAGGACTGGTAAATACTCTAGACTGCTTGTACATGTTTTATACGTCATTGGTCCGGTCGATAAATCACTGTTCTCTAATTGAGGCGATATCATTACTTTATACATTAATAGGACACATGGCACAAGTTATAACAGATTAATCAAGAGAAAAAACGTGTCAGTGACACAAGTTTTACATGGATTATGACAGAATCGGTAATTAAATTGAACGAATAGATAAAATATTCCTTTTGACATATTATAAGTTTTCACTATTAAAATCAAAATAATACGTTAGGATGATTGACTTGATTTGTATCTTTTGTATGTTTATGGGCTGGAATACTGTCTGATCATCCAACCAAAATAGTTAATGCCCAAGCTCTTGACCTTATAGTTTAATCTATAAGACAGATGAGCAACGTCAAGAAATCTCATGCCATTGTGGTTAGTTTTAGATAATCAGTTAATACGCCACTTTCTTTCTTTAGGACTCTGAAACCAATACACACTATCAATTTAGAATAAGGGTTTTCCAATTTCTCTAAGTGAAGGCTCCGAACCCATCAACCACATCTAAACCCATGGCGTTAAATTCTCGCTCTTTCGCTTTTAGAAATAATGGGTAGAACTTTTTTGAATAGTATTACGTAGGAGGATATACTTTTCGGTAGATTTATCAAAGACAATCAATATTTACTTATTTGAACACATAAATATTGGTACAAAAGATTTCGTGAACAACACCCCCGCCACGAGAAGGTAGTGAGTACGACCAAATTACATAAGTGATGCTTTGAAGAAACCCAGGATCGAATACTAGTAGACTACGAATATCTTTTATTTTTAGTTGTTGTGTTTCAGTATTGGGCACTGAGATGTTTTTTTTATTCTATTTTACCGAAATTAGGGCTTTGAAACCAGTGCATTGACTTTCGAACTAATTTGTTTGTTTTCAGTATGTAATTTAAAAATTAAATCAATACGTGGAATTCGTGAATACCAAGACGATTTATACAAGATGGAAAACTGAATTGGATATCGATAATAGAGGATATATCACAATTGATTGGTAACTGGGTGGTGACTAATGTCATGTGTATCAAGTCCTTTTTAATGCAGGTCGAATGCTATCAACTAAGTTGCAATGTGGTCTCCTGTTGACTACCTCCAACCACCATCTTATCTCAACATAGTCAACGCAATGTCGAGTCACCTAGACCACCTTGGTCTATAGCATTCGATCTGCACTAAGAGGACTTGACACACATGACATTGATCACCACCCAGTGATCAATCAATTGTGATTACATCTCAGTCCTACAGGAGGTCGGTCGCGGCCCGGATATCCCGGTGGTAACGTCTCTGACTGTGAAGCTGGGCGACACGGGATCGAATTTGTCAGGGAGCACCAGTTCCCTCAAGATTACAGGTACACCTTGTTGACGAGTGCCGAGTAGCATGAAACCCGGGTCCAGGGTTTTCTGTTGACTACCTCCAACCACCATCTAATCTCAACAGAGGATATGTGCATATTACTAAGGAATTCCAAAATGCAATGGAAAACTTTGACTGGATATTATATATTTCACTAGTTAACTGATTAACATTAGTTTGAAATAAATAAAACTTATATTATGTTTATAATTTGTAAACTTGCCATCAATGGTATTTCTAAGATTTCGATTATCCTCTAATAAACCAACATCCATCATACGTTGTCGAACACAATTATACAATTGTGAAATGCCAGAAACTTCAAGTTTAGAAGCTTCTTGAATCATAAAATTGACTCTAAACAAGAAGACAATTACAATCAAATAATATTTACTAGTTTTAGAATATAAATTAATAGCTTTTCCACAAAAAATGGTAACAAAACATCTAGTAAAAAGGGCAAATAAGAAAGTAACTTGAACAAACCAGTTTTATTAAACCTGCTCATATTGATTTCTAACTTTTATTGAAATTCCGATCTAACATGACTTCCATAATCAAACTAATTTGGTCTAATTAAGTTAGTCAGTCAGCTACAACATAGGAACAGGCACATATATACATCGGTCCAAGTTGCCATACGTTATTAGCACAACTAGATGAACACCAAATTCATAGAAGCAGTTACTTTAATGGTAGTAATATATGAAAGAAAGATTAAATATAAGGATATGATACAGGAAGACGAAATTACTTCGTAGAAAGAAAGGTATAAAGTAATCTCAGGTTTAGGGGAAGACAAAGAGTAGTCTAATTAAGATTGTAGTTATCAGTATGGGATTGTGGAGATTGTTATGTTTTTGATTGAGATCATGAATCGACTGGTGTTAGAGCACCATTGAAAACCCGAAAGCACTAGATGACCCCTCTCGCGAGATTCAAAACCAGAACATCCGGTCTCGCGCGCGAGAACAGTTAACATCTAGACCACTGAGCCGGCATCCAGCGGTGTTAATGTCTGACTTTAACCGATCTATGAAATTGCGCGACTATCTTCCATTGTCTGAGGTAGATACCTGTCTCTACCTTATATGTATTAGCTCCACGGGTCACGGCTTCTTCGTGTCAGGTACAGACAAGCATCTACCTCGGACATTGGAAGATGGTCGCACAATTTCGTAGATTGGTTGAAGTTAGACATTTACACTGTTGGATTCCGGCTCAGTGGTCTAGACATTTCGCTTCGCTCTCTTCGCTCCGTTTTTCTGATTCTTTTCAGATCAACCATTATATGAAATATACGCATTCAAAATTCATTCTCATATTTGACTTAGTTAATTCCGTTATTCACTAACGCGAGTTAAGTCGATAATAATATACGAGGGTTGATGATATGTATATTTTGAAAACAATCCTTCACACGATCCAAATAGAGTCAGATATTGGACCATTAAAAGATAACTACCAGATCGTTAAGCAAGAGACAGTCACATTGCAAACTACATTGAAAACTTGAAAGTGATGCATATAATTCTACACAGATGTTCAATATACATATTTTTCTTTGTAGTGCTATCACCGAAGTAGAGTGACCTTATTTGGTGCATAAACATCAGAAAAATTTTACAAACATTTCTGGAGAAAAATGGATGTTCTATTGAATGACTATAAGTAGGGAGAATCTTCAAATGATAATGTACAAATACCACTGTCTAATAACAACTGGATCAGATAAATGACCACTTGTACTCAATTACTGGTTAACTGATGTGAAGGCGAGGGAAATAATGATTGATTGTTTGTCTAGTAAGACCAGTAGATAGTCGGAAAGGTATTAGTTGACTTATATATTTTCCTACCCTTATTATTATTATGATTGTTGTCAGTTATTGGCGTAGGAATATACTCACGTTCCAGTCAGACCAATCACGTGTTTTTGATCGGAATTGTGTTGACGGCCTGCATAATAGACACTAAGAGAGTATCCAGTATGGATATTCGTCTAACCTAAATTAGCGTCCCATTTGTGTGAGGGAGAAAACCGAGCGTTATTTCACTAACAGAGTAGTTTATTTATTTATTTTAACACATAGATATTGGTACAAGGAGGCACCAAATGCATATGCGCCACACAAATGTCATTCGATGTGTGTGAGGGCTGTGATACTGCCCGGGTGCCCAAACCGAAGCAGGTAACAGAGTAGAGAGTAAATAAATGATTACGGGTCCATCCGTTTGATTTAGCTTCTTTGACAGTGAACTAATGTCACCTGGTCACGATAAGAGTACTTCAATAAACTCGCAGAAAATCCAACAATCCGAATCAAGCAGCTGAATGACGCAACACTAAGGTAATCTTCCTACTGACAAAATGAAGACATAGTACTGTATCAATCTAAGTGTCTCCACTTTCACACGGTAAATAAAACGACGGAAATTATTAAAGTGAACAAAAACGATAAGAGTAGAATAAATAATGGTAGAACATAACTTGAATAGCATAATCCTATTTTGTGCGGATTTAATTTCAACAGTTAATAAAACTCACCTAGACGAGGATGACTTTTTGATGTCCTCGGGTAGCTTTTTGTTATCTTCAGATGGCTTTTGGGTTCCATCCGATGACATGTTATCTGTAAATGTGAAAATTTAAAAATTAGTAAGTGCCTCTTAACAATAAGACTAAATAAATACGATCCTCCTTAGGAATGAACCGATGATTTCCTTTTGATAAAAATTTCAAGCAACAAAACAAGAAATAATATTTATGGAAAAATTCCATTCAAATTCACTTAGTTCTCGTCTTCTTACACATGTTGACTCTAGAATAACTGAGTAGACCAGTGTGAAGTAACCTTGTTGAAACCTATCAGATTTACTTATAACATTAAATGGAACATTACAAAGTGTGTAAAAAACGACATAATAGTTGTGACGAAATAAGAATAGCAAACGCACTAAAGGGCTTGGCCTACAGAGGAATGAAATCGTGATACATTGGATTCATTTTAATGTTTATGAACAACGCTCGAACAAAACAGCACGATCTTTGAATTAACGAATCATTTATGTGAAAGCATGAAATCATAGAGTAGTGTCGTATTCCCCTGTAGATCTGACAACCGGATGTCAAGATGACATCTAGCAATCAATAGGCTTGTTTTCGCAACCTAAAATGTGAAACCATTAGTTTACCATACAGACCGAGATCTTGGGTGCAATCGCTTGAAATCGGCTCCGGCAGCCTATGTTTGTTCACTCGATTTTCTCCTTACCCTTCAGTTATACTATTATTCTATGGTCTCCATAATTTTGACTTATATTATTTTCGAGCCGTAATCCCTATATTTTTTTCTTCTTAATTATTATAGAAATCACGATTTTTTTCAGCTTTTCGGAGATGATGGGATATGGCTACGTGAACGAATATGAGTTCGTACCACATCCTCCGCTATGACTAAGATGCAGTTCAGCAAAAGGCATGAAAACCGTGAAATGCACTTTTTAACAGCAAGTTAGGCAAGTGGCTTGTTTAACATAAATCACATTTGTTTCTACATTGTTTGAACCACTGATCAAGCAGGGCTATTGTTAATACAAATGTAGATAAACTGAATGATTCCCTCAACTACTTAATTTTTTAATATCGAACTAACAGACAAAGTATACCATTACTGAAGCAGAAACAGATCTAGGAGTGAAAGTTGCATTAAATTTCTCGACAGACTGAAACATACCCACAATGCTACCCTAAGTGACCAACAGCATTTTCATTTTATGAGTCTTCACTTGGTATTTGTCAACCAACAATACGAATGACAGAGAACAGAACTATAGAATAAGAAAGAATCATTTTTACGTGTTACTCTAGTGGTTACTACACCTAATATGTACTAAGTCAGGATCAGTAACTCAGATTTACTTTGAATCATCAAACAAAACGACAAGTTTCTCACGCAGTGTCTAAGTAATTTTTCATAACCCTTTGATTTTTGAATGTTCCTAATATATAAAAAAATACTGTAGGAAGAAAGCAAGCCAATCACTGAAATTCAACAACAGCGGAACAGATGGGTAGAATACTTCGAGGAACTCCTGGATAGATCGGCTCCAACGAATCCACAGGACATCGAAGCAGCACACACAGATCTTCCCATAGACGTCAACCCACCAACGAAGGGAGAAATCAGAATGGCCGTCAGACAAATCAAGAGTGGGAAAGCAGCGGGACCCGACAACATACCAGCTGAAGCACTGAAGTCAGACATCGAAGTAACTACAAACATGCTTTACCTTCTATTCAAAAAGATTTAGCAGAAGGAACAAGTTCCGATGGACTGGAAAGACGGGCACTTCGTCAAGATTCCAAAGAAAGGAGATCTGAGCAAATGTGAAAACTAGAGGCATTACACTACTGTCAATACCAGGGAAAGTCTTCAACAGAGTGTTGCTGAACCAGATGAAAGATGCAGTAGACGCCCAACTTCGAGATCAACAAGCTGGATTCCGTAAGGATCGATCGTGCACAGACCAAATTGCAACACTACGGATCATCGTCGAACAATCAGTTGAGTGGAACTCGTCACTATACGTCAACTTCATTGATTATGAAAAGGCATTTGACAGTGTGGATAGGAGGACATTATGGAAACTTCTTCGAAACTACGGAGTTCCTGAGAAGATTGTCAATATTATCCGGAACTCATACGACGGACCACAATGCAAAGTCGTGCATGGAGGACAGCTGACAGATGCATTCCAAGTAAGGATCGGAGTCAGACAAGTCTGTTTACTCTCTCCCTTCCTCTTTCTTCTGGTGGTCGACTGGATTATGAGGACCTCGACATCTGAAGGAAAACACGGAATTCAATGGACAGCTCAAAATCAATTACAAGATTTGGACTTCGCAGATGACCTAGCCCACCTATCGCATACACACGAACAGATGCAGATAAAGACAGCCAATGTAGCAGCAGTCTCTGCATCAGTAGGCCTCAGCATACACAAAGGGAAAACCAAGGTCCTCAGATTCAAAGCGGAGAACAGCAATCCAATCACTCTTGATGGAGAAATCCTGGAAGATATAGAATCCTTCACATATCTGGGAAGCATTATCGATGAACAAGGAGGCTCAGATGCAGACGTAGAGGCGAGGATCGACAAAGCAAAGGTCGCATTTCTACAATTGAAGAACATATGGAACTCAAAACAACTTTCAACCAATATCAAAATCAGAATCTTCAATACCAACGTCAAGGCAGTTCTACTGTATGGAGCTGAAACTTGGAGAACTACAACAACCACCATCAAGAAGGTACAAGTATTTATAAATAGATGTCTTCGCAAGATACTCAACATCCATTGGCCGGATACCATCAGCAACAGCCTTTTGTGGGAGAGAACAAATCAGCTTCCAGCTGAAGAAGAAATTAGGAAAAGACGATGGAAATGGATACGTCATACACTACGCAAATCGTCAAACTGCATCACGATACAAGCCCTAACTTGGAATCCTGAAGGAAAGCGGAAAAGAGGAAGGGTTAAGAACACATTACGTCGGAAAATAGAAGCAGATATGAAAAGGATGAATAACAACTGGAAGGAGCTGGAAAGGATTGCCCAGGACAGGGTTGGATGGAAAATGATGGTGAGCGGCCTATGCTCCTTCACGAGGAGTAACAGGCGTAGGTAAGTAAGTAAGTAACTGTAGGAAGAAGTAATGTGTCGAAATTTTAGAGAATTTATTTTCAAAGAATCCTGGTAGACTCCCCCATTCTGAGTAACAAAATACACTGCAAAATTCTGAAAGACAGAACTCCACCCCCGTCGTGGATCGAAAAATCTTATCCTCATAGAATATTACTGTAAGCAATTTTCTATAATCGAAAATCCCCAATCCGAAAATTGGACACGCGCATGATTTGGAAAAGGTTGGTGCATTTATCCGTAGCATCTTACCAGATAATCCTACAGGAGTTCAAGTCAAAAAATTAGTAACAGGTAAGAGGACCGATGAAAATGTTGAACCCCAACAATATAGACACCTTAAAGTAATCTTAGGGTCGGAGAAACAACAAGATATTTTGCCAAGTAGCTTCCAATGTCACAACATTACCGACATTCGAGTAAGACCAGATATGTCTCTAAAATATATAATAAAAAAGCGGCACTGGTTGAACTAGAAACCTGTCGACAAAATAATGAGGAAAATCTCTGTTTAGTGGGTTTTAGAATTGTCAGGACTTGGAAGTGGATGCTACCAAGGTTTGTATGGATAATTCGCTCTCTCCAGAAGTTTTAAATGAAAATGCTTGTAGTCTAAGAAATGAATTCAAAAGACTAGGAGCATCAGTGCACAAATTAAAGCTACTCATTGTAACTGTGACGGAAGTCTGATTAGTCCATGAGTTCGACGTTACTCCAGAACTATCCGGATACCACTATCTAAGAAGTGATAGGGAGAGATGCAGGGAAGTGTGTGAGGTCTTTGCATACATACTTAGTAATATAAATATCCGCTCTTCTGATTGTGAATCCCATGATAGTGGAACTTGTAAAATCATTAGCCGTGAACTCACTATCGAATGTTGTACATGTATACTCGTCATCTATCGTAGCCCAATCTGTTTAGCTGATGACTTTATTTTAGAGCAATTCAGCTATGAAGTGAAAATAACATATGACTGATATTAGAGTTTAATGCACCTGACATTAGTTGGACAGAGAGGACCAACGTACGATCTGTAAACTCATTTGATAGTATGTTCCTCATAGATAGTTTATCATGTTTTTGTGTGCGGGCTGATGTACTGCCCGGGTGCCCAAACCGAAGCAGCTGGTTTTCCTAGGGGGCCACACCCCGAGCCTTTGACCTGAAGGTGTGATCCACAAGGTAGTGGAGCATCGTTAGGAGATGCAGTCCCATGGTAACCGGTGACCAAGGAATTGGTTCATACGCCATTTGTTCCCGCAGGATACTGGAGCCCATGTGCACCATTGGTTTGGGATCCGGTTAAAGCGCCGGACATTCGCTTTTCGTCCTCTCGATTTCGTAAACAATACCCCCGCCACGAGAAGTCAATGAGTAGGACTTAACTGGCAGAGGCTGTATACGCATGGCCGTGTGAGAGCATTTCGAGAGCGAGGGCGGGCTCACCCCACTCTCGACCATACCAGGGCAGGCGGGGGTGAAACGTCCAGCTTATAAGCACTGGGTTTCTTCTGATTCTTTACAACTCATTGAAGCCCATCGGTCTACTCCGGGTGACCGTGAGTTTGACCACAAACGAAGGATGTTACGCAAGGAAATTGGGCAAAGCTTGCGTAAGGACCGAGAAGCCTGGTGGTCGAAGCGCGCTAATGAGCTGGAAGCAGCAGCTGCATCTGGCAATTACCGGGAGCTCTTCCAAACCATACGAGTCACTGGCAGCAAGAAGTCTAGTGTGAGCAAAACAATCTACGAGGATGAAGGAACATCAATCACTAACATCCATCGAAATCTTGGACGATGGCCGGAATTTTTCGAAGGGCAGTTCAACTGGCCTGCTGCTCCGGCAACATCGGTCAGACTGTCCTGCCCCCCATGGCCGGTGACGACTGATTCACCAAATTAGGCGGAAGATCGCAAGGTACTCCAACTCTTCAATCGTTACAAACCACCTGGCCCAGATGACTTACCTCTGGCTCTTTTTAAAGATGGTGGTGACTTTTTGACTAAGGAATTGACGACGTTGTTTACAAAGGTTTGCAAGCTAGAGAGTGTACCAACGTCATGGAATGAGTCGATAGTTGTCCCTATCTTTAAAAAGGGTTCACGTCGTTCCTGCAACAACTATCGGGGGATAAGTCTACTTCCGATTGCGTCCAAGCTATTGACTTCCGTCATACTTCGTAGGTTGTTCAAAACCCGAGAAAGATTGACTCGTGAGGAGCAGGCTGGGTTTCGTTCTAGTCGACGATGTATTGATCATATCTTCACCCTCCGCCAAATGTTATAACGCCGTCATACTTATCACAGGCCAACAATCGTAGTGTTTCTTGACATCAGGACTGCCTTCGATTCGTTAGACAGGACTGTTCTCTGGGATTGTCTATTGAAGAAGAGTGTGCCTGAGAAGTTTATTAACATCCTAAAAGCCCTATATACAAACACCTCAGGCAGAGTGAAGGCATACAACCACCTCTCTCCATTGTTCCATTCGAGCAGTAGGGTTAGGTAGGTTTGCCCAATCTCACCATTTCTCCTTCAACTTTGCCATCGATGACATTCTGGAAACAGCTCTGATGGATGTAAGCAATGGCGGTGTGAATCTGTTGTCCGGAGAAAGACTTATCGCCCTTGAGTATGCGGATGATATTGTCTTACTGTGCGATAATGCCCAAGGTATGCAATCCGCACTTAATCAGTTGGCAATCAGTGTCCGTAGGTATGGTATGTACTTCGCACCTTCGAAGTGCAGAGTACTTCTACAAGACTGGCAGGATTCTAATCCTGTACTCACCCTGGATGGTGAGCAGATAGAAGTAGTCGAGAAGTTGGTGTATCTAGGTAGCTGCATAAGTGCTGGTGGTGGCGTGAGTGATGAGATCAATGCACGTATAGTGAAAGCCAGAGCGGCGATTTGATGGGTTTGCTTTCGAATAAGTGATAACGAGATTTTGAAGAACACATCAGGTTGTTGTGACATCTAGCGTGGTAAACTAGACAATCAGTCAGCTACAACGCAGGACCAGGCACATATATCCGTCGGTCCAAGTTGCCACACCTCATCAGCACAACAAGACGAACAACAAATCCATAGTCGTTAATCCAATGGTAGTGATATATAAAAAGAAAGACTTCATATAAGTATATGATACGAGAACAATTTCAATCGTTCTTACTTCGTGAAGAACGATTGAAATTGTCCCCGTCCATTTTGAAACACCGACTTCGGTGGCTTGGACATGTTCTACAAATGTCGTCCCAGAGAATTCCACGTCGTGCATTATTTGCCGACTCTGGGACTGGTTGGAAGAAGCGGAGAGGTGGTCAGTGCATGACATGGTGTCGTGGTATGAAAGAAAGCTGCAAAGGACTGGCTTCTGTTGGCCCTTCACGACTCCCTAGTTGGGGTCCGAGAGATGGTGCTACACAGTGGTTAGAGACATTATCAGATATGGCTCAGAATAGAAGCCAGTGGCGATCCTGCTGTAACCTTCGTTTACTTTCTCCATAAAAAGTGGTTGTAACTTCATTAACTGAAAGAATTCTTCTGGTTGTAGCTTCCTATTCCCCCACTATTACCACTATTATTATTACACTACCTAATACCAATCTCTTCCTCATTGTTCTTTTTTCTACCCTCCTTACCTTTTTCTTCTTTTTCCTCCTCTTTAAATTCTCATTGTTTTGGTTGCGCATATATATTTGGCGCACCCTTGTACCAATATGTATGTGTTCAAATAAATAAATAATAATAAATCCAGATAACGGTAATGGAGCATGTTTAAGTACAGAGTGTATCCGAACCCACAGGTTTTGACTCAAACCAAGGATCTTTAATGTTAGACTTAGTGACTACTCATAAGACTGAGGATATCGCCAACCTAAATATTCTCCCACCGTTAACAAATAGCGGTCATGTTATTTTTTCACTCATGTTTATAGCTTGTGACACAATATAAGATCAGTTTAAACCTCACCTAAATGTATGGAGAGCAAACATATCAAACATTCACGAGTGCGGTAGTAAAAACAGACTGGACATTAGATATTAACTCATCAGTCGAAAAATCATGGTCTATTCTTAAAGGTAAGCTTAATTCAGTTACGTTCTAGTTTGCACTATGCTTACTACCACGTAGACCAAAAAATTGTCCACGATGAATAACTAAACAGGTCGAGAAACTACATAAACATAAGAAAAAAACCATTGGGATAAGCTCATCTCTACAGGCTTACAACAGTATAAATGTAGTTATTGTAAGACGAGGAATGCTTGTAATGCATTGATAAAGAAGAGCTAACAGTTATATGAAGAACAACTGACTGGGGATTGTAAAAATAGTCCGTGAAGTTTATTATCGTATATAAAGTGGCAAACTCAGAGAAGTGATTGAACCTCACCACTTTTGGTAGAAGAAAATCTATTGATATTGGCAAGAGATTATGCCAAAAAGCTGAAACTTTATCGGCAATGACGAATGAACAACGACGCTTGTCGACGGATCTTGTAGTTATTGTGAAAGGAATCGTCTTATGATTACTTTGTCTCAAACCAGATAAGTTCAGTGATTCTGACGATATTCATCCTAGGATTATGAAAGCCCTATCGGGTGTAATTGCTGAGACTGAAAAGAAGCACTAATTAGTCCAGTGTATAAGGCGAGGAGTAGAAACTTAATTAGTAACTATCGACCGTTTAGTCTAACCAGTGCAGTTGTAAAACTAATAGAAAAGATTATTCGGATGGCTGTTATAAACTATGTGGAAGGGCATAATCTTTTATCTAGAGAACAACATGAATTTTGGGGAAGGCCTATCATGTTTGCAAGGGAAGATTGGGTTGTGGCAAAAGATCGAAATATTCCTGTATATGTGATTTTCATAGACCTAAGTAGAGCCTTTGATCAGGTCTGAAAAGTTTTGAAATCCATTGTAGAGTCATAGACTAGATAAATGAATTTCACCATGACAAGAGGCAAAAGGGTAAGGGTAAATGGGACTCTCTCATTGTAGGAACGTGTAAGAAGCGGAGTTCCCCGAGGTAAAATCCTCGGTCCTCTTCTCTATTTACTTTATGTAAATGAATTATCAACTGTAACAAAGTCATCTGTCCTACTCTTCGCCGATGACATCAATATTTCGAGACCCATACACAGTATGTCAGATAGAAGAGTATTACAGGATGATCTCAACTCATTGGTGGCAAGGATAGACGAATGGTCACTAGAAGTGAATTTTAACAAGAGTGGTGATACATTTAAATACCTATGATGATTCACATCACTACACAATATGTGGATCCATGTTACCTGAAGTAAAAAAAAACTATAAAATTTGAGTCATGAAAAGCAGTGAACTCAAAACTAATGGTAACCGTAAGGCTACTTCTTTGAAAAGGCTATTGTGTACTATGGGTTATTTGTAGGTCTTTTCAGTAGTTGGATGAATAAATGTTCAGATCTTTGTACCCGACTATCGTGAGGCCGCATTTAAAATATAGATTACAATCAGCGAGTCCTTGTTTCAAGTATGAGGCGGATATGTTGGTATGAGTCCAACGACGAGGGACTAAAATAGTAAAGTCTTTCTGACCTATCTTATGAAGACAGAATGAGACACCTTAACCTATTTTCGTTACCTTACTGCAGATTACCGGCACATTCCGTTGATATATTCAAAACAAGATTGAATCTCCACAGTGTTATAAACTGTAAGGATCAATATAAATCAAAAGATTTATTATTATTATTATTATTATAATTGAAGCCCAAATACTTACTAGAGTGACGCAGTAACTTATAAATTGCGCGAAGCAAACGAAAATAATGGTTAAGAAACATTGAATATCTGATAACTTTGAGAAATATTACTTAAAATGACGAGGTAATAATCTTACGATAAGACAAAAGTTTATTAAGACATATATAAACAATGGTTTTTGTAACAACAAAAATAAAACCACTTTTTTTCATTACTTTATGTGACTACATTCATAAACAATATTTATTATTTTCCCCCATCTTTTAAGACTAATATAAATTATCAACTGAATAATGCCCATGCTACTGTCGCCATTCAAACAAACTCTATCTCAGTCACTTAATCTGCCTTAATGGCCACAGACTGTAGTTGATGATTATGTTTAATCTCATTCTTTCAAGGTTTTCTAAACTACGTTGAAGCTTCTGCTCGGATGGCTATTCGACAACGCTATCGGATTTATATTACATGACAGTTTTTGCTGCCACCACGTACAAAGGAACACTTGTTATTCAAGTGAACTCACTTGTAGTTGTTATTCCAGAAGGAGCTTACAAGTAACATTCATTTCATAACAATTGTTACCGTTTTTGTTTTCCTTGTTCAGTGTAGCGGCGAATGAATACATAAACTATGTTATTCTTCAACATTGGTGCTAACCTCACCAGTTTTGCTAGGCACACCCTAGCTGCAGGCGCCCGGTCTCGCATCTGCACAAGATCAAAGTGTGAATCCCATGCTACGCATCAATTGTAGTTACTAACCAGCTTAGATCAGACGTTTCTTGGCATATCTATAACTTTCCAAATGTAGATTCGAACTCCATTGTCGACATATGAATTGACCAGGTAGGTATTCTGTGGTAATAAATGTGTTACCGACAAAGGCGTCGTCAAACATTGGATATCTGTGGCATCGTCAACAGTAAGCTTGATATGATCTGGTTCACCAAACACTAAAGTGAGCATCTGTTCATTATTTTAACAAGCGTCATTTTTAAATTTTCGTTTTTTCATGGATAATACTTTTGTATTGTCGAACTTTTTCAATTGCTATATTCAAAAATACGGAACACACAAACTGTATGCGATTAAGACTCTTTCACTCCCACCTTTCCACTGATGCCATTCTGTCCTGACAAAGTAGAGTCCTGTTTGTTCTGTTCGGCAAAGATTTGGCCACATAGATCCTGGTAATGGCAGAACATTATAGCTCAATGCCCACTCAATTCCCCATTTAATATTGGCATCATATTTCCTATTACTTTATTTTAAGTGTTGAAAACGTTGTGTTTGAAAATGATAACTTCGAGCCCCATCTGTTCTGCTCCACGATCAAAAGAAAACCCATGTTCACCGCCAGTTTGATTTCTTATATTGAAATGAAGAGGTTTGCCCAACAGCACAGAACACACATGCTTTCACTTAATGGAATTTATTTTCTAGATTACGAGCATTTGTAAATAATACTCCCAAAGTCAACATTCTATCCATAAGGCCTAAGTGACATTCGCTCTCAGGGCGTGACTATCCAAAAACACACTAAGCAGAATTTTTCACTTGTATTTCTACGCGTTTCTAGTTTACCTAGTGCCTCCTTCCTTCACATCCTCCATCTAGAGAAATGTTCGGTATAACACAAGTGATGATGTTATTAACATCGAGTCAGTTCACCCCAATAAACTTTCTTCATCACTCGGTAGCGGATTGGGGACTTGAGTATCAGTACCAGTCTAAAACAGAGACGATCGAGATCGATAATCTTAAGTCTCTATATATCACAATGCTATAGGATTAATAAAGATGTGTGGATCTATCCAATATTCTAAAATAATGTGCATTGCTTATCCAATTTTTCATGTATCAAATGGTTCTTTATATCGCATTATTCTTTACTATCGCATACATAACCCTAAATTATTTCTTCATTATGATTGATTAATTAGTGTGTTGTCTAATGAACAAATTTAACAAGGAAACTTGCACGGTCAAATAATCTTATGAATTCAGTACCAACTTTATATTTGAAGTGATGATTTGCAAAAAGTGATAGGTCGTTAGAAGTATGAAGCTAAAGACATTCGTTTAGTCCCATCTGAACATCGATGCTAAGGAGCATCTTCGAGGAGTCATGTATAAAGCGAAACACGTATCTTAAATCCCTCTAATATACACTACTCAACTCTGCTAAAAATACTTGTGATTTTATGTTACTGTTGAGGTTACCTGCTCAGGCGTCACATGTGCAAAAAGAGACCAACCAATAGTTCGTAATAGTAACAGAAAGATTAGAATGCTGTTATAATTATTCGAAGCACTTCAATTCAATATAGGCAAACTAATTTAAAGGCAGAATGAATTTAATCCATAATGTGTTAAATTGAAAACCCCAATATATGTAGGAAACATAGAAAGATTAATTGAAAAACAATGACTTAATATACACATGCAAATAGTATTTTGGCGCGAAAAAGAAAGAAGTCTGCAAGTTTTTGAGCATGAGCCAAGAAAATCATTTCAATTGCTCTATTGGAAATGATCTTTAATAATCATCATCGTCGGTCTCATGATCCTCCTCATCGTCATCAGACAATTCTTCACCTATATGTTTGATACGATTACTATGAGCCAGTTTAATATTCATTCTTTTCGATGGATCTTTAGTTAATTTCGACTCTAATACACCTAGTTCGGCTAAATGCCATTCTAATTCTGTGAAGAGAATGGAAATAAGATTGGATGAGTTATTAGAATATATTGTAGACTAATATCATTTTTAAAATAAAAATCATATACAGAAATTTTAGTTAAAACGAAATAATGAATATTGCTTAATTCAATACCAATGAGATAACTAGAAACTTTGAAACAGTAGTATAAAAGTGTTTTCGATTATCATCAGCAGTCGTAGCTTTCAGCACCGAATGAGTAACTAATAAATATCAGTAATTCCTAGGAAATGATGACCAAATAAGCAGAACTGACGAACATCCTCGACCTCAAAAGACGAAGTCTCACAGCCATAGAGCAAAACTGCTCTCACCGACGCGTTGTACACCCAACCGTATACAACCAAAATCTTATCATAACGACGCTAAAGTAGCTCAGAATTGCGTAGGCTGCTCAGCCTTTCACGATACACAAAATGATCTAGTCACTCACGCCACCATCAACACACACACAACTATCAGAACCAGGAAAAGATTCTAACAGTGTTGTTGAATCAGACGAAAGACTCAGTAGACACCCAACTTCGATGTTAATAGGCTAAATTCCATAAGGATCAGTCGTGTACAAACCCAATCGCGACACTACGAATCATCATCAAACAATCAGTTGAGTGGAACACGTCACTATATATCAACTTCATTGACTGTGAGTAGGTGTTTGATAGTGTGGATAGGAGAAAATTATGGAAACTTCCTCGACACTATGGTGTAACTGAGATTCCAAACATCACGGGGAACACATACGACGGACTAAAGTGCAGAGTCCTACATAAAGGACAGCCGATAGACGCACTCCAAGTAAGGACCGGAGTCAGACAAGGCTGCTTCCTTTCTCCCTTTTTCTGGTGGTTGACTGGATTATGAAGACCTCGATATCTGAGGGAAGGCACAGAATACAATGGACAACTCAGAATCAATTAAATTATTTAGACTTCGCAGATGACCTGACTCCTCTACACTGATGTATATGCGAGGAAACTAATGATTGGTTATTTGCTTAGTCGGACCAGTAGACATTTTGGCACGTGTTAGATGAGTTACATATACTCTTACCCGTATTATTATTTGATTGCTGTCGGTTTATGGTGTAGAAATATACTTACGTTCTAGTCACGTGTTCTTGATCTGAGTTGTGTTGAAGTCCTGTAAAACAGACACTGGGAGGGTATCTAGTATAGATATTCATCTAAGGCAAAATAGCATCTCATTAGTGTAGACGAGGAAAACCGAACGCTATAACACATACCATACACACGAACAAATGCAGGTCAATGCAACCAGTGTAGCAGAAACCTCTGCATCAGTAGACCCCAACGTACACAAGGGAAAAGCAAGATAACCAAACACATCATGAAGAACACCAACCCAGTCACACTTGATATAGAAACTCTGGAAGAGGTAGAAACTACCACTAGTGGCAGTGAAACATAGCCGGTAAGAGTAGAGGATGTTCATAGGTTACTAGTATTTGACCAAAGGTGTCTTCGAAACACTGCTCGTATATTCTGGGACCATAGAGCAAGTAATGTAGGTGTTAGGAAATGAGTACAAGTTAAGGATGGCAAATCAATTGATGAAGTAATAAAACTTTATCAGTTGAGATGTTTGGAACGCGTGTTACCTATGCCCAACCACCGACTGCCCCAACGAGTGGTGTTTTATGGTGTAGGGGTGGGTTGGAAAAAAGATAGGGGCAGTCAGAATAAAACATGGCACAAATCCAGGAAATCACTGACAAGTGTACTGAGCTACGCTCGTAGGTGTAGACTACCTGGTTGGGATCCACGTGACGGTAACAACCGATGGTTAGATACCCTGAATGACATGGCTCAAAATCATTCGCAATGGCGCAGGTACATCCACTTTGTGTTCTCTCAAATTCTAATCTCCTGAATACTTCATGTCCTTTTTTCTCTTTCCAAATTTATTTCACTGGATTATACCGCTTGAATAACATCTTCAGACTCTAATCTTTCCGATTACTGCTTATACTTTTACTACCTCTACCACTACGGGATTTGAACCGACAATTGCATCTTTGTGCTGATGTGGTATGACAACTCGAACTGATGTTTGTACATACGAAGTTCTACGTTGTGACTGACTGACACTACGTCGGCAATTGGAAGCAGACATAAAAAGGGAAAAAAACAGCTGGAAAGGGTTACTCAGGACAGGGTTGGAGGGAAAATGCTGGTGGGCGGCCTGTAATAACCTAATATTTACCAAACCATGAACTATAAAACTCAGTTGATAACTTTGTTTTCGCAGTATTCAGCTAAAATTACTAATTTACAGACTAGTCGAGTGACTGGAATTAATTAGCCATAAGCAATGTAGAACCCAGAGCGACGAGATAAATAACAAAGGAGTCCAAGAAATCAAGCAACAATGTGAGTAAGGAAGATCAAACATTGAGAATATGGTTTGAAAGAAAGAATTGAAAAGGCATATATGAGGAAATACTAGAACTCAAAATTAAAAATAGATAAAGAGTGGGTACATCAACTCCGATGTGACAGATTCTAAGCCGCATCACTCGAAGTCTCTAACCGCTAATTGCAGTCATTGTGTAAACTACAATGGGATAATTTGAATTTACCAATATGGACAAGAAAAACAGTAACTAACTTCATGGGTTGGTGCCATGTATTCGTCTGACTGCCCCTAGGACTCTTTCGACACAATCCTATACCAGCAAACAACCCATGTTGAGGTAAACGGTAATTGAATATACGTAAGACATACTTGGATCACCTCAGTCTATGAAAAATAATGATCGAAATATGATCTCAAACAAGATCCCGATGGATTATTAGCCTGATTAATGTCGAAAATATGTGACAATTGCTCAGAAACTCTAGATGGCCTGAATAATCTTTTCTCAATTTGAAGAAAGTTTACATCCCACCGTTTTCATTGCCAAATTACATGTAACAATATCGTTATTATACATTATATATGATATAAAAAGACACAATTGAGCAAACTTCACCTGGTGTATGGTTGTTTCTGTCAGCACAAAAAATAGGATTAATGCTTGATAAGTCAGTCAATAAGTGATACACATTGTAGAACCTGGCACATATACACGTCAGTTCATGTATTAATATCCATTAGCACAATGAAATAAAATTGTTTGGTCAAATTCCAGAGTAATGGAGTTAGTAATAGTATCAGTGGTAATAGAAATTATTAGGAATCCAATATACAATTTGCAAAGAAAATATGGATTAATGGAATGAAACTGATCTGAAAACTTAAGATTTAAGAGAAGACAAAGAGTGGATGCACCAGAGTTATTGTGAACGATTTTGCGTCATGCCATCTAGATTTTAACTATTTGTGATGGCAATCTCGCGGATCTCAACCAGGTTGTTTGTACTTACCTGCATGTTTAGCTTCAGTAATCACTGTCTTAGTGAACTGATGCCATGTCTTAGTGTGGCCACCTCTAGATTTCTTCCAACCTACTCTTAGCACCATCTATAGTCGCGCTTTGTGGTAGTCAGTAGATGGAGATATTTATACATGTCCTATCTATTTCGGTCGATAAATACTCATTACCTTATCAATCTACTAGCCGTCTTTACTCAGTATTCTGTATATAACTTCAAAATTAGCAACTGAGCGGCTCCTAAAAGCAATAGAAAAACTTTAAAGGGATCTATGATTGAGTGCTAATAACTTACGAATGTCCTCTATTTCTCAACGTCATAAAGTAAAAAAAACGAAATGCTGAGCGATATACTCATTATTTAGTTGGCAAACATATATATCTGCTATACCTAGGGTCTAGCGTCGGCAATGTATGTTGTGTCTGTGAACACGCATACGGGACCCGAGTGAGGTCGTTCATTTGACCTCATCTGGTCAATACAGAGAACTAGCGCGATTTACTCTCAGTATATGTGAAAACTTGACTGCCAGTTCTCGTGGCCTCGCCGACCTAGGTATAACATATTATATTCGAGAGTATAATAGGTTCTTCTAGACGATTGAAAAAGATGTTTAATTGAAGGAAGGAGGCAAAAAATTAAAAAACAATAAAAGCATATAATCCAACCTTTTTCGAATAAGTTTCCAAACGTAGATATTACTGTCATCCTGTAATTCTCGCCCATTCACTTTGCATTCGTAATTTTTGATGAGCATTTACCAATTACACTTGTTTCATGGAGCATGAGTCAGCGTGATGATCGTCACAAATGGTTAAAATCTAGATGGCATGACGCAAAATCGTTCACAATAACTCTGGTGCATCCACTCTTTGTCTTCTCTTAAATCTTAAGTTTTCAGATCAGTTTCATTCCATTAATCCATATTTTCTTTGCAAATTGTATATTGGATTCCTAATAATTTCTATTACCACTGATACTATTACTAACTCCATTACTCTGGAATTTGACCAAACAATTTTATTTCATTGTGCTAATGGATATTAATACATGAACTGACGTTTATATTTGCCACGTTCTACATTATTTATGACTGTTTGAATTCAACAAGATTACAATTAGTAACGTAGTGTAAAATTTAGAACTCTAGTCTCATCATAGAAACCAAACATATCTGACACATGTTGTTTTTTTCAAATGACTTATGTTATGGTTGGTAATCTGGTTAAAGAGAAATGATTCATTTTTTAAGATATTTAAACACATTATGACAGGTAATATTTAAGCAATCGAAACCTGAATAACAGGATAGCTGTCACTGGTCAGTAAAGTTTTATAGAATTAATTAATAAAACAGGTAGTGCGGATGATCATATGGCGTGTATCTATAAAAAGTATATTTACAGGTGTACAGATGTATGTACTTAGCTTTGAGAAATATTATTTGAGTAAAGGGTAGTGATACTATTCACCTGCCAAAAGCAAAAAATTGAAACGAGGTTCAAACCCATGAACTATTTGGCTAAAAGTTATTTGCTTGAAACAAGAAGCCTTAGTGTATGCTTGCAGTAAAGAGCATAAGAAC